TTCAACACCTTTTCACTGTCAGTAGCCTATATTATACACCACAAGTCACAAGTTGACTACAGCCAAAGACAGACCTGACTTTCAGACTAGCATTCAATGGAGGACATCAGTGAGATTCTTCAAGTTGAATCGCATATTCAAACACATCTAGACACCTAAGACGACTAACTAAGCTAAGAAAATCATATGAATTACAGGAAATACAAGGATATACAACACTGATGTTGCCATAATTTACTACATTACTACCGACACAGTACAGGCCAAGAGAAGCCATAAGGGGCAACCTCAAATATAGCAATTGCCATGATGTCTGCGACCAATTCTATTCTTGTGAGGACCTCTCCAGGCAGCCCAAACACTTTTTACAGCATCTTTTTTTCTTTTCCAATTGCGGCTCACATTCACGGCAGTTTATCCACATTCACACAAGTTGGTCCACTATTAACCCCTTCTGAAGGCACACTATGCAAAAACAATGTAATCCACAGCTTTTTTTTAGCAGGACTGGTTTACAAGTTCAGTAGCTTTGCTTTCTCAGTGACTTCTACAAATTTATTAGAGTTTATAAACAGGCTGCATGGACTAAACGTATAGAATTAATCTATTTTACACATTCAAATAAAATAAAAGCTGAGACCATTCAAACCATGATGAGACTCTCCTTAAGTGCTTGCAAACTGGGCAACATTTTAGGAAACAGGAGTCAAATGAAACTTTAGAACAAAAAGCAGAAGCAGTGAACCTCTTTCTCAAGAAAGAGTAGTGAGTCTAATTCTAAGATATTCCCCCAATCCATCCTAGGTTTCCACTGTAGACACAAGTTGAGTCCCTGCCTCCGCTCCACACCCTCTGTGAGATGGAATATAATCTTATCTAAAAAAGGCAAGATAAATATAGCCTGAGAGCCAAAGGGCCTGCCCATCAATACCCTGGGGGAACACAGGACCCTCTGCATCAGGAGGGCAGAACCTACATCTCCTTTAATTAGGCTATTCTTTCGCACAACCACCATAAAAAGAAATTACATTTGGGAAATTTATATTTTAGTTAAGAATTTTCCACAGGTGGGCTGGTTTTAATCTAACTTCCTGTTCATAAAACAATCAAACAGCCTAACTTCACCAAAGATGTAAACTGACCTTGGTTTCAGATGCAAAAGGGGGGGAAATCAAGATGAATTACAGGAATTTTCCATGCAAATCCATCACTCAATGTTATATATGGATCAATGCAAAGTGATACCCTGCAATTATTTGGCTGCCTGAGAAGAGAATGGTCAGGTAACCTGGGTGATTGGATTAGACTGTAATGAATTAAAGAGTGCTAATGGCAGTTCCCTGGGCACTTCTGAAGTCCCGAGGGAGAGATGTGTTCTTAATAAACTTGTCTAAGCCCAAAGGAGACATTTCCTCAAGACATCACATGCTATAACTTAAAAAGGACCTCACTAGCCTAACTCGAAACCTAAAATCATGAAAAATTCCAGGGGAAGAAGCATGATTGTTTTGAATGTTTATGAAACTTTTTCTTCTTCTACTAAACAGCCTCCAAAAAATAACACAACTGAGCCTCATCCAGTCTCAAACATGAATTTTGGCTTTATAAAGTTGATATGCTACACACCGGCTGATTTACACAGATGTGCATAAAGCAAGATGTCAAGGTTACAGCATAGCTGTCATAATGAGACGTATTAAGACTAAGATCAGCCAAGCAGCTTAACGTTGTAAAACCCACAAAACCCCATTCTGGCCCCGAAACTGTTCAGATGCAAATTAAATTGACAGTCGTAGCTTAGCTGAACAGGCTCATGTTTCTCATCTGACTGGCAGTCTGTTTAATCAGGACTCATCATCTTGGTTGGGGGATATAATGTGCATTTTTTAAAAAGCACGTGCTGAGTTTAGAGCGCTGACTTCTAGTCGCAGCCTCCATATTGTTAATCACCTCAGAAACCCGCGATTTGTATATTTTGTCAACAGTCACCACAATGGAGAGTAGGCCACATCCAGCCCAGGCCTGCGTACCCAAACACATCCAACAATAAAAACATAGAAAGAGCAGCTCTGAGGAGAAACGAAAAGCAACTTTTATTTGCCTTCTGTGAAATTAAAAACAACTCAACTTTAAGAACAACAAAAGCCGCTGTCTAGTCTGTTTTAATAGTATATCGGAGGTCACAGGGACGGCAAACAACTGCAATCATACACTGTTGGCCATCAAGGCTAGAGCCAGGGTATGGGTTTCAGTTTTTACATGCCTCTTCTAATCACAGAACCTCTTCTACCATACAGAAACTGCACAACATCCTCTTACACCAGTCACTTCAGTTCAAGCTGCATGCCCTCACTTGATCATAGCGGTAGGGCCCCAATATGGACATGTGCACGGTGCTTCTCTTTGAAATGGCCTTTGACATCATCTTAGCAGAAAATGGCACCACTTTGCATAAGAATGTGTCTTTGCATTGCTCTAAGCATACGATCCATCAGTAACAGATAGATGTCCTATTACAGAGCCTTTACTTTCATTCACAGGGCCTATTAAATGTTAATCTCTTGTGTCTGCCTTTTGGTCACACGAAAAGGCTCTTTTAGTTTTAGCATCTCTGCATCGAGAGTGCATTGCGAGAGAGAGAAAACGAGAGAGAGAATGGTGCTTGCTGTCGTTGCGCAAACTCAGTGTGTGTGTGTGTGTGAGAGTGTGCACGGCTGCAGGCCCTGCTCGTCTACAGTGTTGAATTTCGTAATGGAATGCGAACTGCTCATCCGGATCTCTCCTCCCTGCCTCCTCCTCCTCCTCCTCCTCCTCCCAAATGGCTGAAGAGGAGGCCGGTTGACCGTAGAGAACATCCCTATTTAAACCTGGACTCACATATGTTTGCTCCCTTGTACTGCTACCAGAAAGTCAGACTCAGCCAACAACAAACTCCAGAAATGACTTCAAAGGGCTCATATAATGGAAAACTACATTTCCAAACTGTAGAGTTTCAAAATGCTGCTCATCCTTAGTTCATACACGGAAACTATGCTGCAAAAACAACCCGTTTTAAATTCACCAACACACTTACATACAGTCACAGCTTATCAAAGTTCAGCCCTGCCCATCACATGGTTATAAGAAGTGTTTCAGCCGACTGCTTTTTGAATGAGGCAACTAATCAGAACAGAGGTTATTTACATATTAGTCTTAAAGGTGCAGTAACCAAATCAGCACATCTACATCTAAAGCGTGAAGAGATTGGAAAACTGTCACATAAAAAATGGATTAACTGGTACAGAAAACCACTCAATCATAAATCGACCTCAGGAGAGGGAAAATGAAATACAAGGAAAATGTGGGCTATAGGCCCTTTAAACCTTCTGAGATGGTGCTGCTGCTCCAACTAACTAACTAAAGTGCTCACTTAGAGCTGGGCAATATGACATATTATTATGGTGATAAATTATGTCAGAATATAACATGCTTTTCTGAACACATTGGGTGAGTTATATCATCAATACTTACAGGACCCTGACCGACTGCATGTTTATTATAAAGAGAGCAAAATTAGTCCGATTTAACTGGATTTCGTGTAACACAGTATGCCAGTTATTGAATGAAAATCACTGTGTTCAGTTTTTATTATTTTTTTTTTTTTCAATTTAGCTCTACTGGTTCTTTCTTCTCTGTTCCAACTGATGAGATGTCTGAAAAAATTAGATATCGTGACATACTGCGTATCGTGAAAGTTTCTTGAAGCATCGCGATATTATGCCAAATCGCCCACCTCTACGCTCACTAACTACATCTAAACAAACAAACAAATAAACAAAACTTGAGAAACTCGCGGTGAGCACGAGCGCAGGAAACGGCAGCAGAAAAATGCCTAGCAACCATTACGGAAGCAGCTAGGCTGCCGTTGCCCCCCCAACACTAAAAGCTCCATCAGTGGAGTTAATCTGAGTAAAGTTAGACGGAGTTTAGCGACAAAAACCCGAAAAAAGCTTCATAAATATGGTCAACGGGGAAAAGAAATGATCTATATTACGGTTAGCAAACGTTACTAAGAGCTGCACGTTCTCGGCGAAGCTAGATATGGAGCGTTTTAGCCGAGCATCAACTTTCAGCCTCGTGTGTTTTTAACCGTCAAATGAGCCAAACTGGAGCCCAAACGGTCACCACACGATGGGAAGCAAAGATACCTCGAATAAAACAACTAAGTCGTCGGTAAAAGTTCAATAAAGTAGTCACATTTGCGATAAAGAGGTGAACGCTTTTACTTCTGAGAGGTTTTAATCGTCGACGAGATAAAAAAAAATACGTAGTAAAACGACTCAACGTCCACAAAGCTGCTCCGATCAAAGTGCAGAGAGAGAGAGAGAGAGAGAGACGAGACTAAAGTTGGCTTCCTATTCGCCAGCTTCTTGTCCGAATTTTCCCGTTCCACCTTAAAGGGTGCAGCAGTTCCATACTGGAACCTGAGGCGTCGAAATGTAACTGCTGCACCATTTAAGGTGGAACGGGAAAATTCGAGTGAGAAGCTGTGCGAGAGAGAAAGAGACATGGATGCTCAGTGCAGCGCAGCCAGTGAGCTAGCAACCGCCAGCTAGCACGTTTTAAAGTTCTTCTGAAGCGGCTCTGCACGCCATTCAAACTCACACAAGGTCTAAAAGTTGACGAAGAGATGCCGAACAAAACGTCGTGAATCCTCGGTGTGTAAAACTAGCGCTGCGCCAGAAACGTAAGCTAAGCGAGGGATGATGTGTAGAGAGGGAGAAGCACATTCCGCAGGTTTGAGCATCAGGTCCTCAGAGCGAAACTAGGAAACGAATGAGAGTCGCGGCGGGGAAAACCACTCTTGACAAACTCCGGACGATCTCAAAACAACTTTTTTGTGCCCACAAATGTCAGTTACACTTCAGCGTCTATCAAATCTACCCCGCGTACCGTGATAAACAGTGGATGGAAGTGAGGACCTGTAAAGTAGCGTAAAGAGGAGTAAAAAACAAACTTACGTTTCACTTTGTTGGGGTTGGGCTGCTTTCGCCTCGACATGGTGATGGGAGTGATGGGCCGAGGAGGAAAAAAAGAAACCAGCAGAAGCAGCAAAAGTTGTTCCGGAGAGGAATCAAAATGGCGTTTCCTGAAGATGTGCAAAGTTCGTCAACTTGGGTGTTTTCTCTCCTCCTCTCGAGTGAATTCCTCCAGAGGAGAGGAGGATGATGAGACGTGTCAAGGAGGAGAGGAAAGCCCTTATTTTATCAGTTTTCTTCCTCTCGGTGTGTTCCTCAAAGCGTTGCTCTCTCTCTCTCTCTCCTCTCCTTGCTCTAGCTCGCTCTCTCTCTCTCTCTCTCCTCTCCTCTCCTCTCCTTGCTCTAGCTCGCTCTCTCTCTCTCTCTCTTTCTCTCTCTCTCTCCTCTAACCGTGATCAGTAAGTCTGCCGCGCATCACGTGTGTTGCCTGCGTCTCTCTCTCTCTCTCTCTCTCTCTCTCCCTCCTGCTAGTCTCCAAGGGGACGTGAGTTCCTGAGGCTGTGGCCAACCACGGCAAGCATCTCAACGCACGGAAAGGAAGCACAAGTTTCTTTAAGGCTTCCTTGCTGCAAGTCCGACACGGTGCTCATCGCAGTTGTTGTCCATAGTTTTTGGGCTTTCCTGGTCGAATTGGGACCAGAGGGAACCGCCTGGGAGAAAGAAGGAAGCTCGCTCCAAATGGAAAAAAAAACTAGCGAGCAACAGGCGGTTGTTGTCAAACTCGTCGGTGGCAGCGAAACGCGCTGATGAGTTCAGTGCGAGACGGTGGAAACCGCAAATACTAAAAACTTTTCACGACTTCTGTGACTTTCTAACGCTGTTGCTGGGCGCAACTGGCTCTCAAATTTCCGTGAGCCCAGTGATACTGCAGACCCCTCCCCAGCTGCTCATCAACCAGGCTGAGGCTGCTGGAGCCTGCCTCCCTCCCCCATCCTCCTCCCTTCCTCCCTCCCCCCACCCCCCGCTGCACTGGCCACTCTGGCTACCTGAGCCTGCAGGACCATCAGCAGGGCCATTAGCCTGCCAAACTGCCTCATGGGCTCCACAAGTTGCCATTTTGTCGATGGAGCCTGCTTACAAGAAAATGTGAAGGCAGTATAAGATATCAGACTACTTTCTGCTAGGATTGGGAGTCTTAGAGCTCAATGGGGAGACAGAAAAGTAACACATTTTTTTGTGTACTAATCTGTGTTTACACAATCTGTTCATCAATGATTGAATTAACTGAGTTGGATTTGTGAAGTGGGCGCCTTGATTGTTTTGTGGGCTACAGAGAGCTTATTGTACTTGTCTGTTATCCAAATGTTGCTGTGTTTGCCTACAGTTCATCACTGTCCAAACAAAAAAAGAAGTATCTTTAAAATGGCAACTTTACAGGAGAAAACAAGCATATTATTTACTCTTAATTTATTCTTAGCAGCTCTGGAGCACTTTTATTTTTCCATTATGAAATTTTCACACAATGTAAAAGCTAGCTGTGCTCAAATGATGCAGAAAAATAAAAATAGAGATGCTTTTTTTTTTGGACAGTTTTATTTATTTATTTATGGAGAAAAACTATTTTTAATGAATAGATTATTAGGTTCCCTTTGTATAATAATTTTTACAGCCAAAAAATAAATCACATGAACATAATTCAATTATATCACACATTTCCATTCAGTCAGAATGGGTAAAGTCAACATAAACCGGCTTTGCTAGCATAAAATTCAGTTGTTGATTCAGTGCAGTTTATTTGGTCCTCTGTGGAATTAAGTTGTGTTTGGATGAAAATAAATTGAATTAGGCCCAATTGAAATGTACTTTCATACATTTCTTTCTTGACTGTTTCATGTAAAATAGTTACTTAAACACAACACAGTTCATTTGTTTAATACAATTATTCATTTATTTAATGTAGTAGTTTGTAAGTTAAACAACCCTGTAGGTTATTTTTTTTCCAGTGATGTATAAATGCAGAACTGTACTGCTCTAACCTAACCTTACCAAATCAACTCATTGAATATCAGCTAACTTCTAGCAGTGTAACAGTTTCCAGACTTCTTCAGCAAGCGTAGCCACAAGTATCAGCAGACTGTGGAAATTCCTGTATGGTTACATTACGTAGAATAAGCCTGTGCGTCTATATGGTATGTATTCTTCATGTAGAAGTTTTCACTTTCAGTGAAGTTCCATCACGTCACACAAGAGTAGGCCTCATATCGTGGTCATCTGTTTTCTTGTGGATTTGTAACTTTTCAAACTGGACCATATCTTATGGCTCAAAACAAGATATTAAATACATAACTGAAATGAGATTCTATAAGCTACAAGCTCTGCTAAATAGGGTTTAGAAATGTATCCGAAGAGTCCAGTGATGTCATACTCAACATGTTTTTTTTCTTGGGGGAGAGGACTAATGAATTTTTTTTACTTTTAAATCTGTTGTAAGCCCATGTGAAATTGCACGTAGACTGCACATGCCGTATTGCTATTTGCATTATTAAATAAATATCTGTAAAACAGGTAGTTAACATTTTGGTGAACACAAAACGTGTTTTTTGGTTACTGACGTTCCAAGACATTTTAGACTTAAGTCTGTAGAGGTTACTAGCAACACAATTCACAGTTAAGATGGGTCCAGACTATTTGAGTGAATTAGTCACTTGTTTATACACACTATGTGTGCAGTTTCAGCCAGAGGCCTCATCAAAACCTACAGAATTTTATTAATGAATCATTAATAATTGAATTTTCAATGCATAATAAGTCAGAGTGCCTTATTCACAGTGTAAACTAAAGTGGGCCCCATGTAACTTCATAGTATTTTTTTTTAACCAAACCATCAATACTGAGGTAGACAAGTACAAAAAATATATAGTAGTTGTAAATGCCCCGGTAATTGTATGTTTCCAAAAAAAAATCCCATAAAGTAAGAGAAGATGAAACCCGACTGTCCGAACTGCAGGGAAACTTGAGAGTGATGTTATTTACTGACCGTTGCCAGGGCATCCAAATGCAAGCCTGTTGCTAAGGAACAACACTGCACAGCAACAAAAGGTTTCCTTTATCCTCCATGAACGGGCCTGAAAGAGTACCTCACAGCAACTTTAGAGCATCAAGCACTAGACCAAAGCTGGAAGATGGCTGTGGACGGCATGGAGCAACAGTTTATGTGGAATACTTCATACTCTATAACCATCAGACTTAAGCGTAACTATTAGTTGAGCTGTTTAGGTAGGCCTGGACAACCACAGTTCTCAAAGCTATGGACAAGGACTTGAGACATGAAATATACAGCTGCTGGTTGGACAGGGTTATAGAGTAAAAGCCTAGTAATGGGACGGTATAAAAATGATCACAGTGTTCAATGTTGTTGTCAAAATATGCTGAAAATGTTTGAAAAGGCACTAACACACATTGAAATTATTTCGCCATAGACATTACATTGATATATTTTTATTCACCCTCTCGTATTTCTTCGGAACACTAAACAATCAACATAATGTAAACAAATTTGCAATTTTCACCAACAACTACTGCAGTTTACATGCGATTATGTCATGGTGCATGTTTTGCAGGGCAATTACAGCAGCAGGCTATTTATTACCACCATGACTTTTTTAAAAAGATGCTAATTGCACACAGTTATCAGGATTGTTTATAATGATAAGTTTGAAACAGAATAATTATCGTAATTTATGTAATAAAAACAGTCATAATTAATTTTTAAATGAACATATTCAACCGTTCTTTATCCCCTTAGGGTTAAACTGCTTCTCTTCATTACTCGTTACTGTGCCTTTAAGACTGATATATGTAAATGAGTTCTGTTCCGATTGGCTGTTCTATGATGTGCTTAGTTTAAAAGCAATCCTGTCTGAAACACTCCTCATAACTTCAAAATGAATGGGCAGGGTTAAACTGCTATAGGCAGATATATGTAATGCTTCGTTTTTGTGACATCACAAAAAAACTGAGGCTTTTTTTACAGCTTAGCTTCCATGTGAGGACGAGGGAGTGGACATTTAGGACATTGAACTTTAACAATGTTTACATTGTTTACAAACTCTTTCAAAAATAAAAAAAAATGGACAAAAAGCAGATTTCTTTGGTATGGGCCCTTTAATAAACTCTGAACGCAGCAATATGCAGTATGTGTTTTTAGCGCACGCTGTTTGAACTCAGGCTCAGAAGGCCCTGCAAAGATAAGAGAAGAGGGAGTGGTGCGAAAAAACCGGTTTGCATTTGGGACTGGTGACTTGTTTGCCTTGCAGCCTTCGAGCTGCAGCTCAGCCACAACTCAGCATAGATATTTTTTGGTCCTTGGTTACTGCATGCGATCAAATTAGCCGCTGTTATCAGTGCAAATAATGCACAAACTCTGAACTCTTTGCATCTACCTAAGCTTGACCCTTTCAACATGTGGACCTTTCCTTCATACAATGCATGAAAGGATTTTTCGCTTGGCTTGAGACAGCATTCCTGTGGCAATTCAAAGCAGAGCAGAAGCAGAGAGACTGTGTTTTTTACTGCAATTCAGACTACAGAGATGTTCTTTTATACTCCACAAACATAAACACGCTTCTGCTGATTTGCCAGCATAGTTAATGGATACGTGCATATCTAAAAGCTCAAGTACTTCATGACTAAACCAAACTGCTGTCTTGTCTCTTGCATCTTTTAACTTTGAGTCCAAGCCACACTTGTTAGCAGTGCTTAGAATTTCCTGGTAAAACAACTCCATTAATGTCCATCACTCTCATGTATTTCAGAGGGCCTTCAGTTACAGATAAGAGGCTGAAAAATTAAGTATGACATGAGCTGTTAAACAGATAAATTTTCATGCCTGTTTCAAACCTCAAACTGCTTTGAAAAATGTTGCGGAGAGTATTAGTAATCAGGGAAAGTTGATTTTTTTACAAAATAAAAGTAACTCCTTAGTGATCATTTTATATTCTTACACTTATTTTCTATTCCTATTTCAATACTTTTAGTTCTATTACTATTTCCTTTTCTATTTCTATGTTTTTCACACTACATTTTATATTCTTATTTAAAAAAAAAAGTTGGCTTGCTTAAAATTTATTGAAGTTCAAGTTTATTGAGACTTCCATTCTTACCATAAGAAGGGGAATTCCACTGATTTTTCAAAACATTTTGCATAGTTGTAAACGTTGTACAAGTAAAATGTAAACAAAGTCATTCAGAGTAGTTTCAGGTGAAGTGCTCCATTCTAGAGAAACTTACTCAGTTAGAAATGTGCACAGTGATGGAAACAGAAACCAGACATCTAAAGAGTTTAATGCCTCTAAAAGCTCCCTCACAGAAAGATATGACATGAAATGGTCATGAATTTGCTGCCTGATGCATGAAGCATTCTTTTACAAGATATTTGTGTTAAGGTTTTAAAACTTATTTTTGGGATTTATCACTGTTTTACCTTTATTAACACTGCATATATGTTCACTGCTCATTTTGGATAGAAAATATTGCTTAATTTGTGTGGTTGACATTGTGACCACTGGTTTCTATCATCACCACTGTAAAAAATTAGAGTCAGCAAATTTCTCTGCAATGAGCCATTTCACATCAAACCACTCGGAGTGACTTGATTTACTTCCCAGCAAGTATGTAGAAATTCTGCAAGACTGGTGGAGTTTTAAGGCAGCCTGGTTACTAACCTTTTAAAGCTTTCGTAGTGTGAAATGGTATATGTACAATTGTAAATGTATAATTCAGAATATGGTTAAAAGGTTGTTTATAGTGCTGTACTACAGAGCTGTAGTTACTTTATAGCACCTGTTTCTCAGGGAATAGGTGATTCGTATTACAACATTATTGACAGACCTGACTGTTCCTTTCAGCTGATTCAGAAGCCATACATTTATTTCTTGTAGCCTTTTTACCAAGGGATTTATGGGGGGAGTTGTAAGCATCATCACCCTTCTGATTTCAGCAGTAACTACACGTTGAGACAGCAGTAGTGTAATCAATGGGTTTGGTCCATACTTGACCAGCGCTTGTTGCAGGACACAGTCACAGTCACACAGTTTGTGTATAATTTTGTGCACATTTGGACTTCAGAAAGTGAACTTTTTGTGTCCCCTTAATGCTTTTACCATGTTTTGTCTTGTTTGTCTTCTCCATCTGTAACTACTTTGAGGTTTTGTAGTAAATAGGCCAAAACACTGGAAATCTCAGACATAATATTTCAATTTCTGCCTGATTTTACCCCTAAACTGTTATGTTACTGTGAACATTTTTGCATTTTTCACCTACTCAGTTTACCTTGGCAGCATTTTTACCAACTCAAGTTACTTTGTTACATCGTTCAGAAGATGATTCTGAAAGTTATTGACAGTGCTATGCTACTGAAGCTTAGTAGTGTTACATCTACAGTTTCATGAATTGAAATATTGCCCTTTTAATGCTGTGAATAGTGCTACCTTGAGGTGCATAGTTTCCATGGAAAAGCATTGTCAACAGAATGGGCGCTCTGGAGCAGCTACACATGAGCCTGAGGTCACCATGCTCAATGCCAGGCGTCAGCTAGAGGTGTTTAAAGCCCCCAGCATTAGGCTGAGGAGCAGCAGAACTGCATTCTCTGGAGTGATCAAGCTCCATCTAGTACCTTTGGGATGAGTTGGAGTGATCCACAACATCAGTACCTGACCCCACTAATGCTCTTGTGTCTGAATGCAATCAGACCCTCACAGCAGTGTAGTGTAAAGCCTTCCCAGAAGGATAAATGCCCTGTCAATACCCCTGATTTCAGAAAAAAGTGAGCAGGTGTCTACAAACGTTTGGAGATTGGAGGTTTTCTTTTGATGGCAATAACATCATACCTATTAGACATATGGATTCCAGACATCAGACATGATTTGATCAATCATCACACATAATTCACAGTTCATATGTGCTTTTGTGCATGAGTGTTGCTGTTCATCAACTAGAAAAGTCAAGTGCTGCAAAAAAGGCAACAGGAATCCTCACTACATTGTCACAAACATACACACAACCTTCGGCTGAAAATGGCAGCTGCCACAATCATCACACTAGAACAGCAAACCTCCACCTAATGGCTTTGGTGGAGCAGCACTGAGCTGTAATTTCAGGACGATTCACTGAAAGAGTGATGCAGTTAGTACAGTATGTTATAAACATTATTATGGTACTTTCATAAGGGTGGCTTAGCATGATTGGGCTGGTAAGGACGGGTCATGTGTAAATGACACAGTGAAGAATCAACAGATGAGAAATGACTGAAATGGACTTAGAAAGTAAGAAAATTCACTACACTTGCAAAAAACTGTGCATTACTGTAATAAAAGCAGCATTACTTATGTTGATCCATCACAGCTGGCCTATGTCTGAATGGGTGGGAGAAAAGGGAACTGAAGAGACGGAGGAAGGACACAGAAAGGAATATCTTAGGGTTTAAGGGCGCCATCTTTTGGTAAAAATTAATATTGCTACGGCCAAAGATATCTGCAATAACCGTACTGTTTAAAACTCAAAAGCAGGAGTACCCGGACTTTTTGTCTTGGGGTGCCAAACATACAGTTTGTGTTGGGCTGAAGGCCAAAAAGATAAATAATACACAAATAAAGCTTAGTAGTTTTTTCAATATTATTTTACAACATTACACTATATTTTGGTACTAAAATGCTTCATAAATACCTGGTTAATGGTAGGAAATAAGAATTTAATAATTTATATACAGAATAAAAATATGTCTGCTCTCTTATTAGGTTAGGGGGGGTGAGGGGTAGGGTTATCTTTCTGTTGGGACAGAAAGCAAATCCAGCTTCCTCTTCGGGCAGCCCTGCTCTAAGGTCTCCTTTATGTTTTTTTCTACACTCAAGCCTTCATGTGTTATTATTGTGAAAATAACCTTTATTATGGATGTTGATAGTTATTGTATAATATCCTATTTAATATCATAAAAGTTTGGACACCCTTTGGTCAAATTACATCCTCTACAGAGAGCACACTTCTGCACATTGTAATGCATAATTACTGTTTATTTGCTGAATATAACATATTGGAAAAAATAAAACATAAAATGTGGCCTGTGTGAAAGTAATGGCATATTTAAAATGTTAAGTTTTATTTTTTTCTGTATGTAAAACTCAGCAAATAAATAGAAATTGTGCACTAAAATGAGCAGAACTTGTCATATTCAAGTGTGTTCTCTGTAAAGGTTATGTTAACTTATTTTCACTTAGAAAATCAACAACACATGTAACATGAACATTTGATTATGACTGTGTGTTCCTAATTTAAGAAGCATCATTTAGACAGCATTATCAGAATTCTGAATCACAACACATTAAAAAACGTTTAAAATCACATTGTTACACTGATAGCAAAGTCATAAATAGTAAGAGTTTCCTTAGCATAGCATCCTTTACACGTCCAATCCAGATCAGTTCCTTTACTGGCATTATTCTGTGTGGTTTTGAAGCGTTCTCTGTTTTTCTCCAGATATTCCGATCAGTGAAACTCAAGAGTGGCATTCACACAAACAATTTGGAAGCCATCTTGGTTTATTCCATATACCATCAGATTGTAAAGACCCTGTGGAGAGAGAGGGTGGGGATTAGACTCTGATAAATGAATTACAGAGATTCTATGCCATTGATAACAGATCAAACAGACCTTCAGGTGGAGCTTCAGTGTATTCAGAGACGTCTCCACACTAATCATTTCTGAAAAAGATACGACACCGATCAATGCTGGAACAGAGCTCATTTACTACTGCAGCACCACACACTGTACAGTCGCTACCAGTCAAAGTTTAGACACACTTAAAAACATGTTTTATAATCTTAAAGACTTCTTCATCTATACATTCAGGCCTACATGCTTACCTAAACAAATATAAGCAGTTCTAGCTAGATTCTAGAAAAGTTCTAAAAAAAAGGAAATACATTGTAAGCACTGTATTTATCCATATGTGTTATTTCTTTTTCTTCTTTTTCTTCTTCTTCTTATCTTCTTCTTCTTCTTCTTCTTTTTCTTCTTCTTCTGCTTCTTATATTATTTTTCTTAATTGTCTTGATCTTCATTGTCATCATCTTTTTCTTCTTCTTTTTATTCATCTTCTGTTTATTTATCATCTTTTTTCTTCATTATATTTTGCTTTATGATGATCTTTTCCTTCATCACTATGTTCTTCTTCTTCTCCTTCTTCATCTATCTATCTGTCTATCTGTCTGTCTGTCTGTCTTTCTGTCTATTCATCTATTGATCTATCTATCTTTTTCTTGATTGTCTTCATCTTCATTGTCTTCATCTTTTTCTTCTTATTTTATTCTTCTTCTTATCTTCTGTTTATTCATCATCATCTGTTTCTTCGTGATGATCTTTTCCTTCATCACTATCTTCTTTTTCTTCATCATCTTCTTCTTCATCATCATGTTCTTCTTCTTCTTCTTCTTCTTCTTCTTCTTCTTCTTCTTCACCATCATCATCTTCTTTTTCTTGATTGTCTTCATCTTCATCCTTTTCTTCCTCTTTTTTACTCTTCTTATGTTCGGTTTATTCACCATCATCTTTTTCTTCATCATCTTCTCCATCACCATCTTCTTCATCTATCTATCTATCTATCTATCTATCTATCTATCTATCTACCTGTCTTTGTATTAGAGATTCATTCAGCACCTGTGATGTTTTCTTTAAAAGCATGATAGCATGTTCATCACTGACTGTGACCAGGTTCATCACTGTGACCTGGCTGAGGAGGGATCATTTAGAACAGTTCTTCATATGATGCTAATGTTTTCTGCAAATAGGGTTCTTGGCTTTTAAAAGTGTGAGAAGGCCTCTAATGCACTTCTCTGTGGACCCCCCTCACTCTTACCTCCTTTCTTGCTGCCGCAGAAGGTGAAGCGAGGAAAGTCGGGCAGGCAGAGCGGCTCATCATGATGGAGGATGAGGTCTCCGAGAAAAGTTAGATCCATAGAAACGTAACACTCATCAATGGATTTCCCTGGAGGTCACACAGAGTTCATTTACATACCCATGCCTTCATGTGCTGTTATTACAAAACAGTCTTTATTTTGGTCAACTGATGTAAAATTAACAGAGTATAATGTTTTCTGTTTTAATTTAGTGAAGAAATTTCATTAACAATTTGAATGAAAAGTAGAAACCTGGAAATATCTAGACAAATTTATGAATGTAAAAATTTCTTAGTATTTGACATGTCCCCTTTTGCTTTAATGACAACAAACGCTCAATCTGGACTCCGCAATTATGTGTCGAAGCCTCTGATACATCAAATTTACTTGAGAATTGTCTGAGCTTCAATGTAAAAGACTAAGAAATAAAATCTGAGCTTTTTGTGCAAAGGGCCTAACATGATCAGTGTTACAAATCTGCTAAAAGTTGAATAGTAACCTGGAAATAGTGCAGAATCTTCAATGTTTCTTATTCCCTTTACATTTTACAAAATTCTTAAATTTCTGTTGTTTATTTCCAACTTTAATTGAAAAATCCCAGACATTTAATGTTGTCTCAGGCTTTTGTATCCCACTGTAGGCAGATGCCCTCACTGATGCTGGGTGAAGGAGTGTGGGTGACAGACAGAGCACTTACTCAGAGGGAGAGTCACTTTAATTGCAATTGGCTTTGTCCAAATCTGAGAACAAGAGCTCTGAAGGGTGAAGCCTATGTCCTGTAGAGGATCTGGAAGGACAACATCAGAATATTGACATGGTTGTACACATACCTGAAGGCCAGCACCGGAAACTGGATTAAAGCCATCAAAGACTACACATATATATATATATATATATATATATATATATATATATATATATATATATATATAAATTAACTTCACAAAGCTTCACTTTTTACAATGAGCCTATATAATATTATAGCCTGCTTGTGCTTTGGGACCAATCACAAACACAGTTGCCATACAGCATCACATCTCTCACTCTGTCCCTCATAGACATAACATACAAACTAACATACATAAGTCTTAAGTGGTTGCTAAGGTGTTGCAAGACCATTGATATAGAATCCCAAGTGGTTGCTAAAGTGTTGCCAGGCTATTGCTATGGTATACCAGGTGGTTGCTTAGGTGTTACTAGCCTGTTGACATTGTAGGTGGTTGCCAAGATATTGCTAGCCTGTTGCTATGGTATACCAGGTAGTTGCTAATGTGTTGCTAAGCCATTGCCATGCTATACCAGGTGGTTGTTTAGGTGTTTCTGGGCTGTTGACATCCTAGGTAGTTGCCAAGATATTGCTCGGCTGTTGTTATGGTGTTCCAGGTAGTTGCTAAAGTGTTGCCAGGCTGTTGCCATGGTATCCCTGGTGGTTGCTTAGGTATTATAGAGCTGTTGTTATCCTAGGTGTTTGCCAAGGTGTTGCTAGGCTGTGGCCATGGTATCTATAGGGTTGGTAAGGTATTGCTTGGTCATTGCTATGGCAACCTAGGTAGTTGCTAAGGTGTTGCTAGGTTGTTGCTATGTTATCCCAGAAAGTTGCTAAGGTGTTGCTAAGTCGTTGCTATGGTATCCTGTGTGGTTACTGAACTGTTAATAAGCCATTGCTATGGTATCTCAGTTAGTTGCTAAGATGTTGCTAGGACATTGCTATGGTATCCCAGGTGGTTGTTAATATGTGTGTATGTATAAATGTGTGTCCTATTATGTATGTGAGATTGTATGTAATGTATATGAGTGTCAGTGTCCTTTGTGGCATCATTTGTGTGAATTTGTAACATTCAGCTGCTTCCTTTTTTATGTAAAAAAGTATTTAAATGACTACTGTACAGAAATTGTACATGTGATCAGACCAAAAAGCACAAGTGAACTATTCGACTAGAGGCTCTACAATCCTGCAAACAAAATTTCGTAGTTCTGGCATGAAAACTTCAACTTATGAAAATGATACAAAACAAAAAAACATTAAATAATAATTAAAAATCATAAAGTTGACTTTATAAAGCCAATTCAATAAAGTAATTTTAAAAAGTGGTGATTTTATTGGTAAAGTGGTGATATACACACTATAATAACTTACAACATTCTGATCATTCTGTAGTTTGGGGTGAAAACCTGTCTTTTCTATTTTTAGTTGTATCAGTAACTGAGTGGTAGTATGTAAAGTTAAGAAGATTTCTTATATAAAAACAAACAAAACAAGAAAAAAGACAATAATAAAAAAAGATTAAATAAAACATAAAAAACGTCAAATAAACAAACAAAGTAAAAAAATGGAAAAAAATATAAAAAAGATTGACTTGTTTTCTGTTAGTGGGCTATTTTTCCATGATGCCCATGTAGCTGTTATAATGGACAAGAAGCACAGTTGATAATGATATCTCATTATAAAAGTTAATAAGTTGAAAAATTGTATTAATACACACTACCATTAGTTTGCACTCACTTGTAATATTATGATGCTGTTGTTTTTTTCCATTCTAACTTATACAGTGTAAATTTAAATACTATAAGCTAGACACCAGAAGGTATTTAAATTCTTAAACAATCAATAATAAACTATGATTATTAATTTGTAGTAAACTCTTGATACGTTGTCTGTCTGAGCTTTGATCACCAGTACCATTTATACCATTTAAATAGGAGGAATTCGGAATGTCAATTTTAGCATAACTTCATTCCAAATGTTGTACTCTGAGTCATTAAAGGAAAGATCTACAGCTCTGTTTAAAATGTTGGACACATTTCTTCATTTTAACCATTTCCTACAAATCAGTAGAAATCTATTGTTGTTATATTTTATTTATATCTATTGTCTAAGTTATAGAGCAGTAGCATCACAGTAGAATCAGTAAATATATATCAATGCAACTTTTTTGTCATGTTTTTAAAAAAAATCTCAAACTTTCGCAAGGTAGTGTATAAAGTGTACTAGACCATTAGCTACTCTTAGCTCTGATAGCTAACAGTAGCTGCTAATAAATAGTTGGTGATTGGTATAATGATCAAAATAACTCCTTCCGGAAGGGAAGAGCACAGCTTAAATAAGTACCATGAACTATAAAAGGGATTTGGAATATTTGCCCATTGCATAGTTGCACTAACTTTTACTCAGTTCGAGATGAAATGCAAATACAGCAACTCTGAATAAATCTTCTTAAAGATTGAAGTATAGTTCAAGAAATGGGTCCCGCCTACTCACCCCAAGTCACACACACCGCCACCCCATCTCCCAAACCCCAACCCCACCCCCTCACAAGCATCCCACAAACAAGCATCAAACATATACTCATTGAATCTCACCACAGCTCCTGTATTTGACGCTGATCTTGTTTGAGTTGCACACAGTGTGGACAGGCCAGTGGCCATCCTGGGTGTCCACCACATGTAGAATCACCATGCCCAGGATTACAGCAACACCGTGTACCTTCATAGTAACAAACTGGCTCCTTTACACTCTCTGTAGAGCAGTTCCAACCCAGATTCGTCCAGACTTCTCTTAATTGGAACAGAAAATGGTAGAAGTTGAACAATGCAAAACTTCCCATTTGGTTCAGCCTCTATGATAATGTCAAGCATGAGAATGTTTCACTTCCTCCTGTACACCAAAAACACTACTCTGACCGGTCACAATGACCCTTTATTGTTGTCCATTGTTTATGAGTTTATGATTGTTTTCTGTAATCATGGACTTTTCGTGGTGCTTCCGGAACAGTTCTGTTTTAAATGGAAATGTAGAAGCACTAAATCTTCTCTAAATTCAACAGAATTTACTGTTTTGCCCTCTTTAGCTCTCGGATGTTCTTGTGCAGCCCAGAGTTTGGGTAATAACTTTGGATGGTTCCCTAAATGGAGACCTGATGAATACCTACCGTCTTAACCAGTCCCTAAACCTAAACTTAAACCCTAACTGTAACCTCAGAGTGAAACTAACCAAATCAGACTTTGTTCTGGTGTTCAGATGTTCTTGAAAGCCTTGAATACTAGTTCAAACGAGCGTGATTAAAGAGGAATTCCAGCGTATTTTCAGTGGTTAAGACGTAAGCGGTGGTATTCAGAAGGTTTGATGAGAACTGGTGCTTTGTGACGAAACTTGCCAGCTTGGATTTTCGTACAGTGGTGTTGATAGGAACCAGAGGTCACACTGTCTACAAAGCAAACATAGTTATTTTATTTAACTATCCAAAATGACCAGGTAAAACAGTGGAAAATCTGAAAAAAATAAGTTTTCTTTGGGGACTGTTTTGCTTTACAACATTCTATGTGTATCTCTCCACCATGAATGCATTTAAAACATCTTTTAGTCCAAAACATTCTTAAAACTATCGTAAAACTAAGTCTCAGACATCTGGCAATGTATTTGTGACTAATACATGTAACAACTTTCAGTGACAAAGCATTTAGAGGCATTAAATGTCTGGTCAGACGTCTGGTTCCTATAACCACCACTGTGAACAATTCCATCAACACATCAAAATACTCTTAAACCGTTCTGAGTGACAGTGGATGCCCCTTGGAATGACTCTGTTTTCATCTTAACCATTTATTTATGCAGAAATCTAGGGGGGAATGCCCCTTTATAGGTCTGGTTCTCAGAATCACTTGTTTATAATTTGAAAAAATTGTTGGAATTCTCCTTTAATGTTGTAACAAAAATCAAAATACAACATATGTCAAGTTGTATTAATGAAGAATAACTAGACATTGTGGTACATTACAAAGGAGAAACAACACCATATGTCTGTTTTTGATACACATTTGTTCCTTGGCTATTGTACATACATACATACATACATCATCTAAACCGCTTATCCTTCTGGGTCGCGGTGGGGTGCTGGAGCCTATCCCAGCTGTCATTGGGTGGAAGGCAGGATACACCCTGGACAGGTCGCTAGTCCATCGCAGGGCACTTGGCTATTATGTGCAGCCTTATTCAATCACTTCCCCACAGCGACTCCTAGTGGAGGAGTCCTAAACCCATTTTAAGAGAAAATGGAGAACGTAAATCCTAAGAAGTTCTGGAGAGAAATGAGAAAAGTATTTGGTAAATTTAAATACTATAAGCTAGACACCAGAAGGTATTTCAAGCTGTTTAAAATCCAAAAAATTCTTAAACAATCAATAAAAACCTATAACTATTCATTTGTAGTAAACTCTTGATACGTTATCTGTCTGAGCTTTGATCACCAGTACATACCATTCAAATAGGAGGAATGAGAAAAGTATTTGGTCTCCTTCCACACTGATCGACTACTGAGAGATTTCTGAGATGTTTTCTAACAAGCTCAAACAAGAACTTCATCAAACACTTTTCTGATTTCGTTGCTGGATTTGTGTCAAAATATGACAGGGCTTTTATCATCAGAGATTTTGATATTCGTGTATGCTGCTCTACTAATCTGTTGCTTAAAGACTTTCTACCTCTTATTGATGCTTTCAGTCTTGTTCGGTCTGTGAATGGTCCTACACAAGAGCATGAGCACACACTAGATCTTGTTTTATCCTGTGGTCTACTTGTTTTTAACACTGAAGTATGAAATGCAGTTTTCACTGATCACATGCTCGTTTTACTTAAGCTCTCTCTCTTGTCATATCGCTAGATCATGTGCTCCAGCTCGTTGTGGTCATTTGCTTAATCCCTCCACTGCTGTACAGTTCTTTGCCATTTTAAAAATGTTGCTGAGACTCACCCAGGGCCCCCTTTGGAGCTAATCTTACTATTTTATTTCACCTGACAAAACATCCTGGACGCTGTTGCTCCGTTTACAATAATGCGTTCCGAACTTAAATCTGAGCCATGGTTGAATGACACTACTCGTGCAGTCAGATGAGAATCGTTAAAGCTAAAAGGACAAATATTTTTTCTCATATTGTTTTAAAACCTGCCATAAACCTTCTTTTTAGTACCATTTAACCAATTATTAATGCCCCTAATCTGCTTGTCTTGATGTTTTTTTAGACACCTGTGAAAATTCCTACACTTTTTTTGTTGACAAGATTGTGATCATTAGAGCTCTTATCTCACCCCCTTCTTATGAGACATCCATCACTGTCACTTGCTCTGCTGTTTTACCCGGTTTGAGCCTGTGTCTCTTTCTCTCCTAAAGAATATTATTGCTCATATGAAATCTTCAGCTTGTCCCACAGATGTTGCCCCCCCTCACCTTTATAAAGGGACTAAACAATTAAGCACTTATGAACAGCAGTCTCACTTCAGATATTGCACCAGCAAACTTTCAGCATGCAGTAGTACAACCACTGTTTAAAAACCTTATCTGGAAACCTCAGTCCTCTCTAATTTTAGACCAATTACCAAACTCTTGTTTCTTTCAAAAACTTTGGAGAATGTTGTACTTTTACAATTGCAATCCTTTTTAGACACACACGGTATTCATGAGGTGTTCCAGGCTGGTTTTAAAGCTCTTCACAGCACTAAATCTGCACTTTTAAAAGTTTTTAACAATTTTTATTAGCTGTGGACTCCAGGGATTCTATCATTTTTATGCTTTTAGACCTCGCAGTTGGTTTCAACTTTTTCTGTCATCCTTGGTGCCTTTTAAACCTCTTCAGAGCCTTTGCCCTGTGGAGTCCCTCAGAGTTTTATTCTCGGGCCAGTCCTATTTTTCCTATATATGCTCCCTTTAAAGTCCATTCTTAGAAAATATGGCATCTCTTTCCACTGCTACGCAGATGGAACTTAGATTTACCTGCCCTTAAAAAGGAAAGATACAAACTCTTTAAAACGACTTTAACTGGACATTAAAGCCTGGATGGCCTTTACATTTTTAAACTTTAATGAGAATAAAACTGAAGTCCTAATATTTGGACCCAGCGGAGCCTGTGATGCCCTTCAAATGGACTTTTGATCACTGGAACCATATGTAAAAAATTTGGGTATGATATTGGACAGTGATTTTATGTTGGACAAACAGACAAAGACATCTTTTTCCAAGTAATGCTCTTATCTAAAATCAAGCTTTTTTATAATGATTTTGAAAGGGGTATACATGATTTTATCTCATCCTTGACTTGACTATTGCGAGGCCCTTTATGTTGGTGTTAGCCAGGCTTCTCGTGGTTACAGGGGGTCCAGAATGCTGCAGTTCGTCTTTTAACAGGAACATGCACGAAAGAGCACATTTCCTCAGTACTGGCCTCCTTTCACTGGCTGTCTGTACATTTTAGGATTGATTTAAAGGTTTTATTGTTTGCCTATAAATCTTTAAATGGGCTAGTGCCAAACTATCTCACTGACCTATTACAACCACATCAAAGTCACTAAGGTCCACCAACCAGTTCCTTCTGGTTGAACTGGTCTGTGTGTTTTTATTATGTTGTTTTATGCTTTTTCCTCTTTTGATTGCACAGCACTTTGATCAACCGCTGTTGTTTTTAGATATGTTTTTTAAATAAATTTGACTTTGACTTATATAGCTACTTAGCCCATTTTACACTTTTCATTAGTTAGGCCTGTTACGATAACCTAATATGTCAAGCATTAGCCTACATCACAGCACCTTGGTTGAGACACAGTCATCGTCATGAAACAAGCAAACTACTTTGTCTTCTTTTATTTATTTAAGTTTTCATACAGGGGCCCATTCATTTTTAATTAATTAATTTATTTATTTTATTATTTATTTTTTGCGTTAGGGCCCATATTATCCAAGTTACACCAATGAATAGAACTAATCGTACCACTTCCTATGAATCCTGTATTTGTAATGCTTTAAAAAATGCATTTGTAAGTCATTATATGGCATACATACATAGACTGTGAAATACCTGGCATAAGCTTGTAAAATTGCTCTTAAGTAGTTATAATTACATGCACAGCGAGAGGGTCTTTTGTGAATATTTCAAAAACATCACAGAGAGCTGCTTCATTTGAGCTAAGTTGGTAACACCTATTGTGATGGGTCTGGATGTTATACAGAACGTACACCTGAACCCTGTTATAGAGCATAACAACTTTCATGTTTACTTTATATTATAACTATGACTTGATTGCATTCAGCCACAAGCATTAGTGAGCTCAGGTCCTGATCTTGGATGAGTAATTCTGGATTACAAACTCCCAAAAGTATTCAGAACAGGTTAGATGACATTACTGTAGAACTAAGATATATCAAACTTATTGTGGAAGAAAGTTCTCATGAAAGTCGCTTCATGTCTCAACTTAGTAACCAGTGGGTGTTGAGATCATGTAGAATGCCCTCTGGTGGCAAAATCTTGAAACTACAGAGCACTTCACAAATACACGGAGTGCAGCTGGGGCAAAACTGTTTAAGCCTCTTCAAATGGAGCAGATATTACTCTGAACACTCGCTCCTTATGATGGGCTATTAAATCACACAATCATATAAACTGTGTCAGTGTAAGGTTATCTACCATCATGTGTTACACCATGTTGCATTAAAAAACAGTGAATTCAAAGCTGGCTGTTTGGATGGACAGTATGGGCTGAGGAGTGAATGGAGTGAAATAATTTATCAAATAGTTAGTTAAACTAAGACAACCTCACCATTTTTGTTCCTTGGTACGCTGAACAGCTTTTTCTGTTAAAGTAGTGTTTTTCCTGATAGGCTAATGAACATGTAAGATTTTCACCTGGTCAGTAGCATTTTTCCAGTCCGTGATGCTTTCTTTGAGCTTTTTTATTAAAGCTTCATAGACTGTCTTTAGAAGCTGTTTTAGCAGCAGGTGTTTGGTCTTATTATTGGCAAACAATAATCTGCTTAGGCCTCAGATACTGGCCTTGACTGAGTTACTCACAAAGCTCAACAGCTTCAGAAATGTTTTATGATGGTATGTGTTCAAACTGCAGTCCAATTGAAGTATTCAGACCTTAGATATTTACAAAGATTATGCCAGTTCTGTTACATCAGCTAACAGACACCTGTGCTGACTAGCAGTGCACTGAGTGATGGGGGGGAGGGAGGGCCATTCTACCCACCCAGAGAGCATGAGGCCACAGATGGATGCAGCTGGGGGATCCCCAGGGATCAAACTTGTGATCTCCTGACGACAGGGCCGATGCAACACTTAGACGGTTGAGCCATTTGGGAGCTTAATAGAATTTACCTTAGTTTAAAAAATGCTGTGTCTTGTTCTGACATCACTAAACACAAAGAGTGTTAATACAGAGGTGGAGTCCTATTTTAGACACGCTCCTGCAATTTAGAGCAGGAAGTGAGACTGCATCCCTGTCCCTCATGGCCATACGGACACATCTCATGTGTCCTAAAATACATGTGTCCTAAAGTTTGAAAATCAGTGTATAACATTAAGAACTGTCACTACTAAAACACACATTTTTCGGCAAATAAAGAAAACCTTTTTGTGTTTTCATAAGATAGTATGATTTTATGTGTGTACAACTGTTCAAATCTGTGTTTGCTAGTCATGTACTGGCTTTATGCTTGAAATTAGCTAAAATTGTTCTAATGACAAAATGTATTGTTCAACCACTTATTTTAATAGCATAACGTAATCAAGGTATAGGATCACTCAGAGCCAAATGATTTTAGTCCAAGTCCAAGTCAGTTAAATGCCTGAAATGTTCAACTTTGACTTTGAACCAGTTCTGTAGAATGACCCATATAATACACACTTTTCATGGTCATAAGTATATCTTGTCGTAACTTTGTAGGAGAAGGAAAAACATTCTTAACTTAGATGTAAATTAATGGAGAAAGGTTTTATTGAAGGTAGCTTTAGACCACTTCTATTGGCCTATTTGTCATGAAGTGTTTTCACAATGTACAGGACAGCTGGTGTTTTCAAATGGTCTTGAAATCAGTCAAGAGTTTAATATGACATGAATAATGTTTTTGTGTGTTGAAGTTTCAGCAATGCTCATCAAAAAGAAGGTCAACAACTTCTCAAAAATGACAAAAAATGTCAGAGTGACCTGCCCTCACAATTATTTTGAGCTGACCGCTCTACTTCTTTTCCTCAGAATTTTGATTCTGCATGAGTCCTGCATTTTCTGAAGTGGGAAGGGTTTAATTCAGACCCTATATAACATGGTGGACGGGTCCGCTTGGGTACCGCTGCCCGCAGCATCTCTAACAGAGCGTCCTACTGTTCAACAAAGAGGGTGAGTTACCTTTACAGTAATTCTCATGAGTCTTAAAGTTACAAGTTTTACAGTTTCATAGGAAGAAATTCTTTAATGCTGTATTTAATGTTCAGTCTTCATTTATAACTGCTAAGACTGATCTCTCTTAATCTTAACCTTGCATGATTAAATTGTTCTTTTTATTGTGAAATACTTCTTAAGATTGGTGGAGAGTGTGTTGTAAATGGTTCCATATGGAACCTTTGTGAAAAGGGTACTATGTAGCACTGAAAAGGGTTCTTCTATCGTCATGATATCAAGCTTGTAACAATAGAAGAACCCTTTTTGGTGCTACACAGAATACATTTTCAGAAAGGTTCCATATAGAACCATATACAACACATTCTCCACCAATCTGAAGAACCATTTCCCAATACAAATAACCATTTGATCATGCAAAGGGTTCTTTGAGGTGGTTCATGGTTCTATAGAAGACCATTGTCTTTACTAAAGAACCCTTGAAGAACCATCTTTTTTAAGAGTGTACCTAGACTACACGGCACTACTGTTACTGATTACTTCTGTAGAAATTGAACACATTCATACAGTGTATTTGCGGTGGAGTGCAGTAAGGAGTCAGGAACCAAACCTGTGTTCTTCTAACTGTAAAACATCTGAATACGTTCTGGTGTATTTCTGTTTATTTGGGATAGTTTTTTGAACATCTGATCTTAAATTGCGATTGTGTTATAGATGCCTTAGTATTTGAAGGCCTGGTCTTTAAATGCGCCTCCATCCAGGTCCTTCTACTTGATAAGAAGCCTTTTTTTTTTTAGTGCCAAGTTCACTTTTCCAAAACTCTCCACAGTCGTCTCTCCAGAAACATGCAGCTCAGCACAACAGTTCATTTTGTTCCCAAAATGCTCCAGAGCTGCAAAAAGACTAAAGAAATATCTCAGAATAAATTCAACGCATCAAAACATCGATACCAGTGCTCTTACAAGGAGAATCTTTTATCACTGCACAATCACCTCAAAAACACTGCCACCTGTTGGCATTAATGGAAATTCACTATTTTATGTAAATCCATTAAGCAGTAAAGAGAGATTCGCTCTGTAGTTTTGTTTCATCTTGTAATTATTATTATTTCTTTTTTTGGGCTGATGACATAAACAACAATGTATTTATGAAGAAGGGAAGAAGTTGTGAAGAAGGGCAGAAGTTGATTTGAAGTGTTTTGAGGTTTAAATTGTAAATTGTAAAATATTGATTTTATTGATATAAACAAAGATTTTGCTTTGCATTATTTCATTGCAAGTATTTATTTGAATAAAACCAGTTAAACTGTTTGTTACCTAATGAAATATTCTTTTAGGCTGAGCTGACGAATTACATCTGAAAAGCTTCAGAAAGATATATTTTTGTTGCATAGTAACAAAGAACAGAAACAGAAAAATAATTCAATACTTCACATTATCTAGCAAAGACACTGTAAATGCTTACTCTGATCATTTGACCACATCACACCTCATGTCCTCTATTGCTTGTGCACGTATGAATAAGCACTTGCTAATTATGTTCTGAGCCCATAATGGTTTGTCCATTGGAAACAAAATATTTCTAGAAGTGACTCCTTTTTATAGATGCTCAGCACCTCAGAAGGACTTCGGCTCAAATGGGAATCAGTCATGATTGGCCTGTTTATACACATTCAATGAGCAGTTTGTCTCTATAACCATTATTATTGTTGGGCTTTAACTGTTGGCCAATACAGTATTTATGATTTAGTAAACTAATAAACAGTTTATTTTCATGTAAGTTTATGGATTGTGGTGTAACAGTTTTGTAACAGTGTACACAAGCATTTGCAAGTTGAGCTACAGAAATACACAGTCTTCTTAAAGGCTGAGACTGAATGAGACCTGAATGAAAAAGTTTTGGAAATTGTGGTCACTGCATTCTGTATTCAAGCCTGGAAAAAAAATCTTTATGGTCTGGTCCAAACAGAGTGTTGTCACGTTCACTGTGTGAAGAATTTGGACTCAAAAAGTTTAAAAGGTGTTTCGCATAGTCTGATTTTTCATTTTTGAAACATGTCTTCAATTTTTTGGAAAAATCTGATTGTTAAGCTGTTTTTTTAAACACTCTCTGTACATAACAGACAACGCTATGTTTTTAATGCTTCTTTGTGCATTTTCTCATTAATGCAAATCTGTTATCACTAATGGTATTAGTTTATGGCATTAGAACATGCAATCCTCCAAGCTATTATTAGCAAAGTAAAAAAATAAAAAGCCTTGTTTAGATTGAAACAGTTCAATTGCAGATTTGGTGGTGCTACAACAGTAGCTAAGAAACTGAAAAACAATATTATATCACTAAAATACATAATCATTTAGCAAAGACGTGGGAAAGTGATGTGATGCATATAGTGACAACTTGATAGGCCAATTTTTATGTGATTTTTTTCTTTTAATAATAAAGTGTGGCTACAGATGAAAATATACAGGTATTGAGCTGCTGATCAACACTCTACTCTCTCTCCTTCTGGATGAAATGTATGCAAATGAGCTGAGCGGCCACCAATCATGTTGTTACGTGGCGCAATATCCAATTATGTTATGCTTACAGTCAAGCTAAATTTTGAGATTCAATACTTGAATGTGCATCAAGCGGAAGATGGTTGAAAAAAATGTTATAAAAATTATAGAAATTATAGAAAAATTATAAAATAGGATGCTGTATTGTTTAGACATGATTACTTTAATTACAAAGTAATTAACCACCCTAAAACAAGCACACATAAGTCCTTACTGTGCTCAAGTTATTTCAAAGTTCTAATTTTCGAAGCTTTTATTTTTAGCAGTTGCTGTTAAACAATGCTGAAATCTGGTTTGCTACAGCCCCCTCAGCACCCCCACTTCCCTTGTCCCTGTCCATCAGAGCCTTCTAATGAGACCCCACTCATAAAGCTTTCTGAATAACTCACATGTTCTTTTTCCATCTACCCAACGTGCCTCTCTTCTCCTCAGGGTAAAGTCTCTGTGTGTACAGACATCATGCCACATTTTGATTCCTGTAATCGCGTGCAAGGCCGCAGAAATAACCCCATCCCCTGCTCCAACACAAACGACATCAACCTGCCAGAGATTGAAGTTTTCGAAGCCGTGCCTAGAGGTCCAGCACCCACTGACGGTAAGACATAAACTCCGTCTGTTTAGTGACTGCAACCAGCTAATTTTTACAATTGGTAAACTTGAACAACTGTAGGGTCAGATGTTATACAAATGCTCTAACCATACAGAGAATACTATAGGATATACTGTACTGCAGCGGTCTGTCAGTGCATGCACACGAGCACACACATGCTCATCATGCCCATGATATCTGGTCAAAAATGAATATGTTCATTTGTCCAAAATGAGATATGGTAATCTAAAATTTGTATTTGTAGTGAAATGTACAGTGTGTTTGACAGGTGTGAGCCTGAAGCCATTAGCTAGAGAAACAGTCCCAAAGTTGGCCTACTTTAACATGTAACCCGTTTCTGAAATATGTTAAATAAAAATATTAAGCCATTTAATCATAAAGTCATGACAACTTTTCTCTTTATTATGAAACACTATCTTATAATAACAACCTACTATATCATAATGATCTTCTCAGTTATAAGAAGGAGATAACTTTTACTTGTACATCTAATAATACATTTAATACTGCATTATAATATGTACTTTATCACAATTATGATGGAATATCTCATCGTTGAGAAAGCGTAAAAAAGAAAAAGAAATGAGAGAATATGTTCTCTCATATTTGTAGCATAGTATCTTTTAAATGTGAGTTTTTATCTCATAATTATGAGAAACTTTTTCATTAAGACCTAGTATCTCATGAATTAGCTTCTCCTAATTGTGACTTAGTATCTCATAATAAGAGACTGTAATGCTATCTGATTATTAGTTACTCATTATTATGAGATATTAAGCCATAATTCTGAGATATCTATCTTAGAGTCACAACTAACTATTTTATTTTATCACTATGATTCGTATCTGTTAATTATGAAAAACTTATGAAATATTTAGTCTTAAATATGAGAGGCTTTCTTGTTATAATGACTTACCAAGTAATTTATATTTAAGGGCTTAACCTAACAGGTTTACATACCTTACTGATAGTTGGTAAGTAAAATTATCATACTATTAAGCCAGCCGCACTGGAAAACCTTTTTATTTATTTTTAATTATTTTTATTTTTTATTTTTAGCTTCTTCAAAAAATATTTAAAAAAAACATTACAAATATTATTATTGATGTTGGTTTGTAAACATGGCTCATGAAAATGCTATGTTTTATGGTTGTGTCTCAAAACATTTAATATTTTAATGCAATTCAATATTGGGGTCAGACTGCAACTGAAAATGTGATAGTAAATAAAAATAATGCATTCATTTAATGCATATATTATATTATAAATCATATATGTTTGACACAAACGTCCTTTACCTGATGAGTTTGAGGTTCTACCCAATGTAAAAGTATTGTGCAGAACAGCTGTTACAGAGAGAGAATGTACCCCAATGATCAGTTACAGTGACACTTTCTTTTCACCACAAGCCACCAGAGGCCAATTCTGCACTTCTTAATGTTCCACTGTCAGCACAGCTCAGAGTCGCCGTCTGTAAGGGTTCATTCTCACAAAGATCAATGATGAAAGTCTTTCTCAGCGTGATTTGAATTCTGTATCTTGCACCACATCCTGATGAAGTAAGAAAAAAAGTTTGCTTTTAAAGCCATCCAAAGACGAAAAGCTGCATTTGCCTCTGGCATTAGCTTGACCGTATAACAAGACACTTTGGAGCTCCTTTGGGTAACGACAGAACCTTTATGCTGATGCACAGCTTCTTTTTCTAAACAGAGGCTATTTTGCCTCCTATCTGGACACTAGACTTGCAGTGTCTGTGTATGTGGACCACAGGAGGATTTGACTGCAGCAACAGCAACTTGTAAGGCCAGTCCAGGGGACCCAATATTCTGAGAAGTTTCACATTTGGCCCGCTAAAACTCACTGAATTCCATTCTCAGCAGGCCTAATAATTACTCAGTGAGTTAAATCAGGCGTGTTAGAACAGGGAAAATGAAACTGTGGGGTTGCTGGTGCTGGAGCTGATACAGAGAACAGATTCAGGTGCTTGAGGGTCAGTCGAAGCATAAGACATAGCAAATGACCTTTGCAATTAGAACAGTAAAGACAGTGAAGCTCATTCTTTCAACGAGAACAGAGTAGTTGGTGCTGTATTGGCCACTTTAAAATGAACCACTTTTGTACAACTGAGGGTTATACTGTATCTGGGCACATCTGTTTCACTCCACCAGCCAGTTGGTGAACACATCATCATTCTATGCAGGTTTAAAAGCTGTTAAATATTGTTCGCCTCAGTCTTCTGAGTTACAGAAGAGGAAGCTATTAGATCCAACTGTTAAATACATTTGATCTATAAAACAGATAGTTCTGGTCCTAAAATCTGATTGGCTGAGGCGCATTCGAAGCCCACCCCCCAGTAATATCTGTGTGCAGAGCCGCAGAGCCACAGAGCCACAGAGCCACAGTTTCACGCCAGCAGGTTCAAGCTGGTGGCATCCAGCGCATGCACCACATTTGTTTTGTTTTTCTTAGCGAGTTTTAGGCTAATCAACATGTCAGTTGTTTTATGTGGGTTTTCAATAAATTTGTGATACATTTGCATTGGGCTAACGTTATATTTTAAGCTTTAGGCTAAAACAAACTTTGGTTTGAACACATATAGAGATTCACAGGGTAAATATTACACAGCTTATGTAGCCTTGATAAGCTAATACAGGGGCTTTGTATGTGTACAATTAGCTACATAAACATATGCAGGAATAAAACTTTACCTCAAGCAGGCTTAAACTGAGCATAATATTAAGCTTCTAGGCTAAAACAAACTTTAGTTTTTGAACGTATCCCTGCTGAAAAAAAACAGAAACCATTAAGTGTTTCTTTTGGTTTCTGATGCTTTTGTAATGTGTTTTGGCTTATGGTTTAACTAGTTACCAATGGTTGATCACCAATGGTATATTAGCAATGATATTCCTTCCTGAATGCTAATATGCATGGCGACACATACAACCAGCACAAATAGTCGCTGTTTACATCAAAGACGTTCAATCGGCCACTGGTTGACATGAATGGGACAATTGTTTACATGGCACAATCACACTGTCCTACTGCATATGCGTTCCACTGGCCTGAAACTGCAGGTGTAAAATCTATGGTTCTACGGCTCCGCAGTCAGACCCTTTTCTTCGAAGCTGTTGTAAAATCCAAGATATAGCACACCTCAGATCGTCTCACAACAAGTGAATTGTGCTGTTAATGGAATAGTCTTTGACTCTCATGCTGCTCCCATGGACCACCTAGTTTATCGATGAAGTAAGAACCCATTTTTTGTTTAAACTTAGGGGCTGGTGACTTATGTTCATAACTTGAACTAGGCTGGTCAGCTAGCTAACAGACTAAAAGATGGCCAACAGCCTAAACAACTCCATCACTAATGTCAGGCTTAAGTACTTACAGTATAATAAACTGTAAAACAGAAGAATAAAAGTCTAAAAAAATCATTTGAATGGATTACACACTTCAAATGTCTGTGTTTCAGTCAGTTGTACTGTCAAACCCAGGCTGAATCTCCAATGGCTCTGTACTCCTTAAATAGGGTGCTAGCTATGAAAGTTTAGAAATTCTAGCCTCTACAGCCAAATAGTGCATCATATATCAAGCATGGGTGTGGCTGAGTCCCAAATGACAATTTCCTAGCTATATTTTGCACCGCTGGGCTGCAGGATACAGTATCCAATTAAAATTCCTACGTAGTGCACTATGTAGGGATCAAGGAGCCATTTGAGATTCAGCCCCAGCACGAGAAGAGGGGCGCTGCTAGATTGGTGCTAAATGAGACTCGGGTGGTACTTTGGTGACCAATAAGTACTTATAAAGCGATGTTCATTGTTTTGTGACATAAAGTTTTAAAAATTCATGAAAAATGAAATGATTGCAGCATAACTACAGCGATGGGCAACCAAACAGTCTTCTCCTCATTCAGAGGTCCATGATTGCTTGGCAACGATGCTCTAAAGGAATTACGTTTCTTGGCGGAATACTTCTTCATGTTGATTATTATTAATAATAAATTATTTTATGCAAAAATAAAATTGTGTATTTGATCATATTTTTTTGCAGTGCATACTGTGCATACATGCAGTACATACAAAAGCAGTAAGATGTGACTTCATGCAAAATGATTTGCCTTTTTTTTCCTTTTTTTGTTGATAATTTATGTCAAACATAGCGTATCATGACTTACCACAATGTGGCAAAAGATGACAATATACCCACATACCTGACCCATCACTCCCCTTGGTGCACACCCTGATTTTTCTGCTCTCTCTCCTCCTGTACAAACTTTATGTAAATGAGTTGAGTGGCGTCCAATCAGATTCTTGAAATGAATGCATTTATTTTTTTAATTTCAGTCATAATTGTCATAAGGTATCAATTTTCAGGAGATATTTCTAAAGAGATTAAATATAAAATAATTCACTTGACAAAAGAAAAATAAACGAGTAAGATTTTCCAAAACTGGATTTCCAATAATTGTTAAGGATATAGAGAAAATAAGACTGTACTCAAAGCTCTCACCTTTGAGAGATGCTAGAAGACAATTGAACACTGTGGGTCTGAAACGATGTGTTGCTGCCGAAAAGATCTTACTTAGAAAAAGGAACAGACACAAAAGAAGAACATTTGCACTAGCAACTGGATGTCTGAGATGTGGAGTATATTTTATGCTCTGATGATTTTAAATTTGTAATTGGGATTATTTTGATTGTGAGAAGCAGAAAATGTAACCAACTTCTAAGACTGGACTTTGTGGGAAAACGTTCCTGCAGATTTCTTTGAAAAACTGAAAGCAAGTCTCTGAAAAGAATGGAAGCTGTAATAAATGAAAAGGATGGATGCTGAATAAAATAATATTGTATTTATTTGTTGAGGCTTCTCTGTTATTTTTGTGTTAAAGACATGTTTTCTGCTCTTTACCTGATGCTGAAAAATGAACAGCTTGTACTTAATGTTAGTTTTGTAAATTAAATAAATGAAGTGTGGTTTCTGACTTTTACATAGTTCTATACTATTGTGAAAGTAATTGTCTAACAATTGTATGAGTATTTGTTTAGAAAAGTTTATAAGAATAAGTGATAATAAATGTCTTTATTTCTGATTTTTCAGTTCTCAGTGTGAAAAATGTGAAAATGTACGAGGACATGAACAAAGTGGCCCACCACACGGACAAGTACAACAACAGCAGCTTGATCGTGCGTCGGGGGCAGGAGTTCATCATGGGCATTGTATTCAGTCGTCCATTTAATCCTCAAAATGACACGGTCAACATTGAGTTCATGATTGGTAAGCCATTCATTTCTACTCTCTATTAAAAAATCTGAAATAGTTCATTTTAAATGTTTGATTTCAGTAGGTTTTATAGCGTAAACTGTACTATTGATGTACTGTCATTCTGAGAGACTACCCCCCATCCCCACACAGTCACACAGTTTGAACCAAAACTGATGGTTATATATCACTGTTGTCAGAAGAAAACCTTGTATCTCCATTTTTGACGTAATTTGAAAATACCTGTTACCCTTTACATTGTATGTAAATTTCATTATGACTGGACTAAAAGAAATGACCCAAAATTACTTGGAAAAAAACTCTGGTTCTATTGACTTACATTAAAAGTAAAGTAACCATTTTGGAGATACAAGGTTTTCTTATGACAACAGTGATTTATATATATATATATATAGGATTGGCAGGATGGGAAGTGTGACAGGGCTGATGTTGATGACTGAGTGCTATCCTGAAGGACACTGTTGTCTCTGAGAAGTGGGTGGGTACAGTCATGTTCTCACTGGTAGATTTTTCTCTGCCTGTTCACTCTCCCATGTCAGGCAGCAAATGCCCCCAATTAGTATGATCAAGCACTCATATGTGAATCATCTAGTAGACAATTAAAAAGACATCAGATCATTAGCTGTGGTAATTACTAGACAATCTCTGGGTACCAGAAGATGGAGGAGGGGCAGACACGCAAGCTGGTAAGCTGTGCAGGAAGTGTAAAAGACAAGACGGAACCACTTGACTTTCCTGTGTTTCGCAGAATATGTTAAAGAGGTCCACACACAGCAGTAAGGAGGAGGAAACAAGGGCTGTTACATGGAATGCCTGAGTCACAATCACAGGCTTGAGGAAGCAACAGGGTTTTGATTCAAGAGCAGTGCAGGCTGCATCCTGTTTGATTTAATGTTGTCTTCCTCACTGCCAACTGCTGTGTTCTTCAAAAGAAGGGTTTATGGAGGTCTAATAAACAGATTCAGATGACATTGATTAGACATGAGAGGTGCAAAAGAAGAGACTGGGAGACAGAAAGTGACAAACTGAGAGAAAGTATACGAAGAGCTGAGTGAGTGGACCATCTAGTTTAGAGGCTTGTGTCCAATATCCAGGAACTCAGTTCAAATCTCAGCAATGCTACAGTCATCAATGGTTCAATAGAGCTCATCCAGCCCTGCTGCTTAGTGTGTGTCTCAATCCCATCCTGATGAATTACTATTGAATTAAATTGTCATTAACTCTGCTATCTACGGAGCCAAGGTGAATGACCGGTGAATGAAGGTGTATTAGGTTTTTAAGAGGTCTAACAATCTAAGGGTCACTTGCAATCAAGCTACACCTTAAACAAAAGACTGACATTTCATGCTTTAACAACATCAGCATTTGGAATTGTAGTGTTTAGATGTCTGGATGCTAGTGATATGGTCAGTGTCTCGAGAACTTATTCCAAGACGATTCTCTGCTCACTCTTAAAAATTAAAATGGCAAATGGACTTCCTTCGAGCGATGTCCTGGAAGAACCACTTTTCTGAAGAATCCTTCAGTCCATGGTTCTTTAAAGAATCATGTTTGTAACTGAGATGTGTTTGAAGAACCTTTATACAACACTTAGTTCCGGCCACGCAAGCTGATTGGTTGAGAAGCGTTTTTTTCACAAACAATGTATCACTCCGCAATGGCTTTGACAGCTGTAGGAGACGCTCAAGCCATTTTTACTTCTTACTTTGCACAAACAGAAAATGGACACTTTTAAGATCACATTTGACCGACAGCCGATTTGGTCAGAGTCTGAAAATGACACTACACTAAATTCCCAAACTGTCATCACCACTGAGCAGCTTTTCTTAGTCAGCAGTTGTGACAGAAAAACACCTGGAATCAGCCAGAAATTAACCAAATACCATTCGTCAAACAAAATGGGCTGTAAGATGCTTTACAGACTGGCTGGAACAGAACAAGGAACTGGAGAACGAACTGCTGGCTGTGCAGAGAGTAAGCGGAGTTCATTACTCTGACGTAGCAACAAGCTGCTTTTTAAGGAGCTATAATTGCTAACATTAAAACATATTAATCAAGGCCCAATTTGTTTATTTATTTATTATTTGTTTCTTATTTTATTTATTTAACTGTTATATAAAAGCAATAGAACACTAAAGGGTGTGTGTTATCGGAAATAACATCACGGCTGTGATTATCTGCGACCAAATCACAGCTGTGATGTTATTTCACGACAACACACTCCCTCTCGTGTTCTACTGCTTAATTTGGGAACTTAAAGAACTTTGTCATGATGTGAATCAACTTTTTTTGTAGAACCGAACATCCAAGCCAACAATCATTTATTAATGTTTCATACCAAAGAAGATTCTTTCATGGAACCATGCATCAAAGTCAAAAAGCCTTTATGAACCTTTACAGTGTTGTTTTAACTGTTTTGCACTAAGATTATTTGCTTCAAAGCTGCAGAATGGTCATAGCACAGTTGTAAGGATGTGAACATAGGGCATAAACCACGATCATGTTGTCCCAGAACTGTTTCAGAATAGTTAAGCTTTAGGTTAACCATCAAGTTATGTAAAGCTTTTTTTAAGGTTAGATTAGGTTAGACTTTATAAAGTAACAGTAGGCCTTGTATGCTTAAAGGGGAATTTTGCAAAAATTAAACCAATTCAGCCAGTTTTGTTTGATACTATTTTGTCTTACATTGCCCTGCATGTATCTCTATCCAATGAAAGGTTTTATAACAAAATGTTTTAGCCCAAAACTACAGTAAATCAATGTCTCAGGCATCAGACAACATGTTTGTAACCATTTCATGTAATAGCTTTCTGTGATGTAGCATTAACACATCCCCTTTAATTTACTTCACCTGTTTTGATGCATTGGGAGATTTTTTGTTTGAGTCATTGAAGTTAATTTAGTGTTTGTGTTAATTCACTAATTAGTACAAAATTAGCATTAAATACAGTTTGTGATTTACAGTACAGGATGCTTCAGAGCTGTCTTCGTTGCATGTCTTGTTTGTCTACAGGCAGTAACCCCAATAGTCTCCAAGGAACCTTAATCACTGTGAGTCTTGGTGGGGATTCCCAGATGTTCAACTGGAAAGGCCGTGTGGTGGATACCAACTGGACTGAGACCATAGTGGGTATCACTCCATCCTCAGACTGCATCATTGGCCTGTTCAGCACCTTCATAACAGTTATAACCCCTACAATGAAACAACGCACCAAAAGAAACCCCAAAACAGACTTCTACATCCTCTTCAATCCCTGGGCCCCCTGTAAGCACTTTGCATTCTACAGTGACATTCAACTTAATTCTATTCTATCGGTTCTAAAGGTAAATCTCATGTGTGTTTATGCTGCTACACAGCCGATCAGGTTTACATGGCCAATGAGAATGAGCGGGCAGAGTATGTGCTGAACGACACAGGGGTCATCTACAATGGAGTGATCGATAAAATAACCAGTCGACCTTGGAACTATGGACAGGTAAGAAGTCACACTAGGGTTTTCAGACTCCACGGCTTGAAGGCCAGAGCACTGCAGGGTTTACACACTGGATGCAGTTTATCAGGCACTCTGTACATTCAAAGGTTTGTAAACATCTGATTATCCAAAATTTTTCCTGAAAACAAGACAAGGGTATTAATAGGGAATACATTCTCCTTTGCTTCAGTGACAGTCTTTACTATTCTGGAAGGCTTTACACTAGAAGTTAGAACATTGCTGTAAGGATTTGATTGGATTCAGCCACAAGAGCATTAGTGAGGTCAGGTACTGATGTTGGATGATTAGATCTGGATCACAAATGTCATTCCAACCCATCCCAAAGATACTGGATGGAGCTTCATCATTACAGAGTATTTCCACTGCTCCACAGGCCAGTGCTGGGGAGCTTTATACCCTTCTAACCAATTCTTGGCATTGGGCATGGTGGCCTTAGGCTCATCTGCAGCTGCTCCAGAGCGTCCTATTCCATTTATAATGCTTTTCTATGATATAATTATACAAGCTGTGTGCTAGAGGTTAATGAGTGTGTAGGAGCTTTTTGAATAGTTAAAGAACCTTCACATAATACGGGTTCTAGCACAATTTAAAGGTTCTTCCTAAAACTTTTACATCATGTCGAGGATCTTTAAAAAGGGTTTTTACACTCAAACATTTATAAAAATACTGCTCTAAAGAGCCACTGAAAGGTTCTTTAAGGAGCAAACATTGTGCAAAGAACTTTTTCCGGCACCTGGTTTTTAAGAATGTGTATCATTAATGGGTGTATCTTGAATTAATTAGAATGAGTGCCTGAATACTTTTGGACGTACAGCGTATGTTTTAGAGTTGTGCTGCAGTCTGCCAGAATTAAAGTTAATGAGTCATAAGTGAGACATTTTTAATAATGATAAAAACATCTAAGTCTGGCTTTAGATCTGGCTTATTGCTGGGCATCCACTTCACTCTACAGTTTAGCTGTGTTCGTGCTTTAAAGCAGAATTCAACCGGTTTGTCAAAATGTCTACATAATTCAATCACTGAGATGTGAACAGACGTGTTGATGTTAAATGGTTTATTGTACAGAAACTTACCAATGCTGGTTTCTTTACAGTGGTGATGACAGGAACCAGGGGTCACAATGTCTACAAAAAACTATGAATTTGTGAACTGATACTTGTCTTTTATACATTATGCTGATGATGATAAATAGTGATAATTCTGACAAAAAAAAGAAAAACGTTTTCTTTGGTAATGTTTTTCCTTACAACTGACTACATGTACCTCCTTGCCATAAATAACTAGTTTAAAATACATTTTAGGTCAACACTTTATCGCAAAACTCTTCTAAAACAGTGTCGCAGGCATCAGACAGTGTATTCATAACCATTTAATGTAATGACTTTCTATAAGGGAGCTTTTAGAGGCATTAAAAGCTTTGGACGTCTGGTTCCTATCACCATCACTAGAACTATGAACAATTCTGAGTTGGTACATTTCTTTAAAATTCTACATTTCACATCAAGCCCCTCTGAATGACAATGTTTAGGTTCAAAGATTGAATTATGCAAATTTTCAAAAAATAAGTGAAATTCCTCTTTAACTCAGCTGTTTTGAAGGAATATAATTCCAAAACTCATCATAGACCACTCACATATAAAGAATTTTCTTTTTTCCATGATGTATGTTGTTGGGAGTGGGCTTTACATATACAGTCATATGCAAAAGTTTGAACACTCAAATAACATGTTTGGTTGATTCTCTAAGTGAAAATAAGTTAACACATCCTTTAGAGTAAAACTTAAATATGGAATTTTTCAGCAAATTTTTAGAGCACTATTTTTTGATTATTAATTTTATTTTTATTTTTTTGGTATTTTTATACTTATTTAAAATACTGGGAAAAAAACATCAAATATAAAATATGCCATAATTTTGCCACATTTTATGCTTTATTTTTCCCCAGTGCATTAAATCCAACAAATAAAAAGTAATTGTGCATTGTAATGTGCAGAGCTGTGCTCTCTGTAGCGCAGTGGTCACCAGCCCTGCTCCTGTAGATTTACTTTCTTAAAGAGTTTAGCTCCTGCCCTAATCAGCCCCATCTAAAGCAGCTAATTGTTTTGCCTTCAGAAGTCCTAAATTAGTTGAAGGAAGTGTATTAGATCTGGATCTGAGGTGAAATCTGCAAGAAGGTAGATCTCCAGGAGGAGGGTTGGTAGCTACTGCTAACTTATTTTCACTTAGAAAAGCAATGAAACATGCCAATTAATTCATTTATTTTATTTTTGTCCCTTTTCTGGCCCTCAATTTATTATGTTTAAAGTACTAATTGTATTTGTTTATATCTATAAATGAATAAATGCATGTTTAAACACATATTTCTTTAACTAACTTGATTTTCCTCCAGTTTAAGCTTGGAGTTCTGGACGCTTGCCTCTTTGTTTTGGATTTTGGGAGAATGCCCCTCCAGTTCAGAGGAAATGCTATAAAACTGGTTCGGCAGGCCTCAGGAATGGTATTATGTGTATTCTGGTTCATACAAGAACATATATGGCAGAAATGACAGTTTAGGTCTAACAGTTAACACACTGAACAACAAAATGGTGCTTACTGTTTACTACTGCCTGCCTTGTATTCTCAGATTAACTCCCAGGATGACAATGGTGTTCTGGTGGGTAACTGGAGTGGAAACCTTTCCCTTGGTACTGCGCCCTCAGCCTGGACAGGCAGTGCAGAGATCCTGCTCAGTTACGCCTCTAAGGGCGGTGTGCCTGTGAAGTTTGCTCAGTGCTGGGTGTACGCTGGCACACTCAACACCTGTGAGTATGGCACAGAGAGACAATCATATTTTATGTATTATAGTCAATAATGTACACAGGTCTCTAAGACATCAGCGTTCATCTTGTCGTAACTGAGCACTGAGCTGTTCCGTACAGCACTGAAAATGATTCAGATCGAGAGCTGTCTGTCATGGAGATGAACTAATACCTGTCACTCAAATTAAGATGGTTCTGACGTGCTTATCTATCCCTGTTAAAATAAGTGGTAGCACTTGTTATCAGTGGTCACCAACTCTCCTCCTGCAGATCTGCTTTTCTGCAGATTTAAGGTCCAGCTTGCATCACACATGTCCTTACCTAACACTAATGTATCTGATCCAGCCATTCAAGAACTTCTGAAGAAGTTAATTAGCTGGAGAAGGTGTGGTAAATGGTGGTTGTAACAAGACCCTTCAGGAGGGTAGATCTCCAGGACCAGGGTTGGTGACCACTGATTTGTAATAGCTGGGCCCTGGCAAAATAATCATTAGCTAATAGTTTGAACATGTTAGTGAATAATCACATTGCTTGACAATGCTTATGCATATACGTCACAAAGTAAATGTTCATAATTCAAACAGTAGCATTCACTGATGCATGTTTTTCTGTCAGAACAAAACCTTTTATCTCCATTTTTAATTATTTTTTAATTTTTTTTACATTTTTCATTAATTTTTCATTGTCTTACATTGTGTCATTTATTTTTACTTAGAAAAACCAACAAAACATTTGACTAGTAGTGCCCAAACATTTTCGTACGCCTGCATGCTTTAGCAGAAATCAAACAAACAGCCAAAGTATTACAGTGTATTTACCTTCCACTGTAGTCCTCCGCTGTCTTGGAGTGCCTGCAAGGATCATCACCAACTACTGCTCTGCTCATGACAACATGGGTGACCTGAAGACTGATATTGTGCTGGACGAGGATGGGAGAATGGACACGAACTACACAACAGACTCTATCTGGTGAGATAACTTGATGAGCGGCCAATATCTCCTCAACAGCAGAACGCAGTCACACAACAACTCATAGCTACTCAGGTTTGCTTCGAGAAGTTACCGCAAATTTGAGGGCCCCATTTGTTACTGCAACAACTTTCAATACATCCAATACTCTCAAAATACTCAGTGCTGAATGTTCTCCTTTGCATCCAGTTTATCTCTGCATGGTGCTATCAGGTACAGTTGGTTTCATTATGTAACATGAGGTCACCAAAACATACCTGAACTTGGTCACTGTATTTATATTGTAGCATTTTCAAGCAATGTGTAATGTTTAGTCTTGCTATTCGCTCTACTGCAGTTGCTCTCTGGGTCTGTTTGCTGGGGACTCTTATTCCGAGGAGTGGGGTTAGCTTGCTTGATGGATATGAGGAGTGTAGACATGATAGAGATTCTCTTGTCACCCCTCGGGGGAGGGCCTAGACCTGAGCTATTGCTTGAGTTAGCTGTTAGCCCAAAGCCCCATTTGTGTACAGCGAAGCTGTGGCCAACTATAGGTGTTAATAAAGCACATTGCATTGTGCATAACCTTCTTTCCTAGTGCACAATGCTACAATATTAATAAAATATAATGGTAATATATTAGTTCTACATTTATTTATTTAGTACATTATCCAGAGCAACTTACAATTGCTTGCAAAAATGATATTTTGGCAGGTGAAAGCATCTTTAAACTAGGTAATATATCTACTATTTCTCATAATGAGATTGCTGTAAGAATTTTAGATAAAACTTTACTGAAAATTGGCATTTGTTAAGTTGTACAATACCTACATAAGCCTTTCACTGATATAACATTAAACCTATACAAATATTCTTAAAGGCTTATTCAAATAAGTGTCAGATAATATTTTCTTAGGCAAAATCACACCAAAATTGACAAAAGCAGCCACTGTTGGAAGAGGAACAGTAAAGTTACTATTATCATTATAACATTTTTCAACCCATTTATAGACAATTTCTCTTGTTTTAAGTAACTTTATCCAGTTTACCCAAGCAGATATTTTAGCACATTTGAAGCGTCTCGAAAGAAGAAAAATAAACTGCTGATGATAATTTCACAATTATTTTGAACAAATAAACATCTGGGAATAGATTGAGTAATCTTATAACATTTTACAGTAATATCATAATGAAAAATCTGACTACATTTGAAATGATTTTACTTGCCATGGCATCATTTTTTGCAGTGAAGCCGATGTGACACAAAGTACCCAGAGAATCTACAAAACATTAAGACAAGCGCTCCATCATAGCCTGATCTAGTAAATACAAATATAGACTTGGAGGACAAATTAAACACGTTAAGTCAATATGTACCATTTCCCAGTGTTTGTCTTTGCAGGAACTTTCACTGCTGGAATGAGGTGTTTTTGAAGAGGTCTGATTTACCTCCAATTTATTCAGGCTGGCAAGTGGTGGATTCTACTCCTCAGGAGACCAGTGATGGTAATAAGTTCACATGTTTTCAGTCACTCTAAGCCATGTATGTAGACCAACACATTTCAGCTGGAGCAAAACAAAGTAAAGCTCTATATTAAGATACAACATATTTGGCTAAATAATTTGAAAAGCAGCAAAAAAAATGTATTTACTGGATTTAAATGTGTACATGATTTCTATATAAATCATTACTGTCCAAAAAGTTGTGTTAGTGTAATATCAATGTACTTGTTTTATTAGTCGATGCTGGGCATTGCACATGGTGACCTTAGGCTGATGTGCGGCTTCTTTTGCCCCCCATTCTACTGACAATGCTTTTCTACAGTGGTTATTCAAGTTGTGTGTGCACAATTGGACACCTGTGTCAGCAATGGGTGAACCTTCTCTAATTAAAGGGGGTGTCTGGATACTTTTGGACATTTAGTGTATATCACACAAATGAGAAGAAATTAAAAATCCCCAAATACTGAAAAAGTGCAAACAAAAACACAGTTTAATGGTTATTTCCTATAACATAAAGATCATAACATAAAGAGCTCTTGGTTGACTGTTCATATTTGTTGCAGGCTACTACCGCTGCGGTCCTACATCTGTCAGAGCCGTCAAAGAGGGAATGCTGGGCTATCAGTTTGATGCACCCTTCGTGTTTGCTGAGGTGAACCGGATATTAGCTGTCTTTGCAGCTTCTATACACTCTGCAGCTCAAATCATTGTTGTTCATTTACACAAGTCATTGTATGAATTTCAATTGTGCCACACATTTCTATTCAATCAAATAGAGTCAGTATACATAGGCTTTGTTACCACAACCTGAATTTCAATTGTAGATGGAACAAAATTAAAATATTTCAGAGGTTAATTGGAATTCTCTCCAGATCAGATTAAAGAGTTTCCATTCATTTCATGTACTTTCTCTCATTTATGTCCATTTGGCTGAAACTGGTTATTTAAGACAACGCAATTAATTTATTTAATGTCAACATATTTTCAGTTTGTAAGTCAAACATTGGCTAATTTTTTAAAAATGCATTTGTTTTTAAATGCATCTCTAAGACATCTAAGTGCATCTCTAAGTGTATCCATGCTGAAGAGCTGTTTAGTGTGATAAAACACTAATCCTGTACAAAACTTATGTTCTTAAAACCAGGTTAATAGTGACGTGGTCTTCCATAAACGAGACAAGTACGGAAACATGACAGTTATCGCTTCAAACACCACCTACGTGGGACAGCTGATTGTGACCAAAAGTATTGGTTCCAATATGGCTGAGGACGTAACAGAAAATTACAAATATCCTGAGGGTAAGTAAATGCCAATCACTGTTTTAACACTGTTCAGCAGCTTTGACCTCCAGTGGATAAAAGCCTTTTGCTCCACCCACAGGAGAGCTTGTAAAAAGTCATCCAAAGTTTGCTGGATATTAGTTGTTTTTTTTTTTTCAAGAGCTCCATCTGCTGTGCAGAATTAAAATAGTGTCTATTTTTATGGTTTAATTTTTTACTAATCTTTTTTTTCAGATTTAGAAACTTCCTGTTAGTCAAATATAACTGAAACCTTCCTGTAGCTTTGTCTGAGAGGCCTACTCAGTTTTCAAGTCAAAGGATCAGGAACTTGTGAATTATCAGAAATAATAATGAGCCCTGTTAATCAGAACTAAGCCTTAGGCTATTCACATTTTCAACTATGACTAATGCTGTCTCTGCACTTTGGTGAGAGCAATGGGATGATACTTTTAGACGTGTGAATGGATGATGTATATTAGGTTGTTTAGAAGTGTCCTTTTGCATTTTTTACTTAAAAATTGGACTTGGATAGGCTGTGTCCAGCACAGATTAACCTGTTAATTAACTGGTGATTTGGGAAATCACTAATCTATACTGGACTCAGGTCCTTCAGGACTGCTATATCATAATTTAAAACGTTTTTTTTTAAACCAACTACTACAAAAACCTGCCTTGCAAATGATGTGCGCTATTAGAAAAGACTCTTTCAACAGATCAATTAAGGTTTTAGAGGAAAGAGGTCATTTTTCTGAAAACTAAATCATCAGAGTTTTTTAATCAAAGTCTAATCAAATTTTAATTCAATAAGTTTAGCTTATTTGGCTTCTTTTGAGAGCCATTTGCCATCTTCAGCAGCACAAAACTCTAAATTTGGTGTTGTCATCTCTCCACTTGTCCCTCTGCCTCTTTTTCCAATGAGCACTGCATGAGAAATTTGTATCAGAGTGATTAACTTTGCGGCAAAGCAGCACTATCAGATGCCACAGGCTGCTCTGAAAGCAGATAGCTCCTTCATGAGGAAGCTAATATTGGAGTCGGATCTACTCACCCCTTTATTTGTAAGCAGATCTGAGCGAGCCCAAACAGATAGTTTGAAGGGAATGAAATCAATCACTCAATCATTTTTTTGCTGCTTGTCTTACGCCCCACTCTGTATGATTAGCCAGCAGAGTAATTTTTCATATATTTGAAATGTCTTGCTCTAAAACATTTACAGAAATCAGCAATATTTCACCTGAGAATTGGATAACCCACTCCGTTTCATTTCTTTTTGAGAATTGTGGAGCTCACTGCTTTAACTTGTTAAATCCTGAGCTAAAAAGTATTTCTGATTTCATATCCACTCGTTAGTAACATTTTGCAAAGCTACTGTCACAGCATGGAACTTCTTTTACACAGTGATAGGAAACAAGGTAGCACATAGAAAACTCCAATTCCACAGGCTGATCCATTTAACTATGACGAATGTGGACTTGCAAATACTACTCTGAGACAGGCCTGGTTCTACAGGGGTCCATGAGCATTTTCACACCCCTCAGTTAAGCCTTATTTAGCATGCATTTAGACAGCCTGCATAAGGCTCAAAACACACTTCACGCAAGAACGCGAGCAGAGATGTTTTGAGCTACGCAGATGAGGTTTTGTGTGTAGCTGTGTTCAAAAATATCTCAGAACACATTTCATAATTCTGGGAGTCACAACAAGGGGCGCTATGACGACAGCCATAGCAGATGAGCAGTTGAGTCTCAGGCAAAGAAGGCTTATGTAAACATAAAAAATATGATACATTATTGCCTTTCCATTCCTCTAGAAGACGTAAAGCAGCTCACTCTCCTCTACTTGTCCACGTTTAGCTGTTGAGGCTGTTGGATTAACAGTAGATCCCTCCCTGATTTGTTCTCTGTTGCCCCATTTAGTACTGAGTGTTTTAACCACCACAGTAACATTAGAACGTATGGTGAGTTTGTGCAGAAGGACCGAGCGTTTGCAATGCTTTGGCTGAGCACTCTCATTTCTGCACACGTACTTGCGATGAGTATGTTTCTGGCCTAACTCTTTCCTAAGACCAGTGCCATAACTCTTTATGTATGCATGTAGAACAGCTCTAGTAGTGTAATATGAAGACTAATTAATGTACATTTCACCTCTACTCCTGACAAAGCCTGAAACACATCCTCATGTGATCTCTGCAAACAGTGTATTTGAATGCAGTTAGCATCGTCGTTAGCAAACTGGATACAAGAAACTGGATTGTTAATGTCAGGGTTAAAGGGGTGCAGGACAGCAAGACAGGCTTTATTTTTTCATTTCAAATTGAATTGGATGTTAACTGTCAGCTGTTTTTAGTACTCAAAATACATGTAAATTGAAAGATATATATATTAATATTCTTCTTCTTATTATTATTATTATTATATACTTCTGCTCTTCTTCTTCTTCTTCTTATTATATTATTATTATTATGATTATTTATCTGTACAAATATTTATTAGTTCCTGATTTCTTTCATTTTGCGTAAAAGATTTGATTCCATGAATTGGAATGGACTCAACCCTATCTCTGCCCCTGCCCCTCTGTCTCAGAGAGTAAACACATGTTCCAGTCTTTTTGTGTTTGCTCATCGTTTCAGCTGTAGATTTTTTATTACGACACTAGAGTCAATCAGATGAGAATTTCTAGACCAAACCACATGCAATAGGGGGATTTAAATTGAGCACTTAAACAGAGATTTAATGGAGTGAACTGGATCACTGTGATGTGTGTATCGTGTCCGTGCCTTAAACCGTTCTGAGATCGTGATGGTTAGAAGTCAGCTGGGCTTATGAGAGTTAAATAGCAATAATAAAAAAGAAACAGAAGAAACTGTCTTTGTCAGATAACATTCACTACGAAGAATTGGGGGGTATGAAGCCAGAGAAGTAGCTCGGCTTTTATGCTCTCCCCTATTTCTCACATGAATACCCCTCACCCCCTACCCTGCAGGCAGTCCTGAAGATAAGCTTGCCATGGAACAGGCAGAATCTCGAGGCATGAACAGATACCAACTGGCACTGCCGGCCACTGATGTCCAGCTGCAGCTCTGGGCCAGCCAAATCAACCAGGGCAAAGACATCAGCGTGACCATATACATCAACAACCTGAGCAAGGAGCAGCGGACTGTCCAACTCGGCCTGACCTGCAAAGTGGACTATTACACCGGGGCCACAAGGTCCATCTTCAAGACTTTCACCAAAACCTTGGATCTGCTGCCTTTTCAGGGTGAGTCAGATATAGAGACATTACAGTACCAGATTTCTGATGGTCCAAACCATCAATACCAGTGAATGTACCATATATGGTTCTCCAGACCTACAATGTATAATACAATAAACAAATGTATAATACAAACATGTGTAGCTTTAATCTACTAAATACTTCCCACTTTTTTATGCAAGTGAATTAAGGATTATCCGATCTGCTCAAAAATATCTCTGAAAAATATTTCCAGAAGGTGTCTGACTTTCGCACTGTACTGTATGCCATTTTTGATGATGATCTATGTGTCTGTGTGTTGTCCAGCCAAGCAGGAGACCTTCACCGTGGCAGGTGTGGAGTACAAGGCCTTGGTCGAAGGCAAGCCTTTCTTGTCCTTTGTTGCGTATGGATTAATTAAGAACACAGGCATTTCCATCACCGCAATGTCCGTGCTTCATCTGGATGCCCCTCCACTTTACATTGAGGTATATGACTGTCTCTTCATTTACACGGTGCATTTCTTACACCCTGTTGATTTTATGGTTCACCTTTGCAACAGTTAGTGCTAAATGACAAATAGTTAACAAGTGGCAAAGTTCTTTTGTCCTAATGTGAGGTATTTGTTTCACTCTTTGCTACATTTTTAATGTTTTGGATTATAATGTTTACATTTGGGATAATACTAAACTATGATAATCTCATGTCCAGTGATGGGAGCCCACTTCCCTGTGTGGCTTTACATCATCGTTTTCCAAAGAAAAACATGCATCTCCAAAATAATAACCTTTACAAAAGGAGGCAAAAACATCCATAACTTTTAATGTGTCAATGCAGCTTTATTGATCTCGAAGGGAAATTGCATTAGCCAACTCTAAGCATGAATTTTGTGTGTACTTGTGTCCATTTATAAGCTATCAGTCTGTTAAATCAGAGAAAAAAAAGGTTGAGCACTGCAATGTTTAAGCAGTGTCATATCCTCAGACTATTCTAACCCATATGCACTTTCTCTGTGTGATAACGTACTATCAGGTGAGTGGAGCCTCTCAGGTCGGAGCAGACCTTTATGTGACAGTGAAATTCACCAACACTGTTGGCTATGATCTGAACGACGTGACCCTACGGATGGAAGGATCAGGCCTCATGCCTCTGAAAACTAAAGAATACAGGTAACACACTGATGGATGGAAAACACAAATAGGCCACTCTGATCCGCCTGTTAGAACCAGATACAGGGGTCCGAATTTAGCCTAACGAGTGGAGGGTATCAGCGTTGGGAGTAGCCTACATAGAGCAAGTCAAATGTAAAATGTTTCAGTGTAAAATACAGTTATCATATTCATTTCTCTGAATTTGCACCAGTCCAACATATAACAAAGCATTTGTTTGAATGTGTTTTATCATGAATGTGAATGCTAGAAGGGTCTCTGCAGGCCCCTACAATCCTGAATGTTCTCTTTGTCGGTTTGTAGTAACTAAGCAGGTTTATACTGCCAAACATAATATCACATGAAAATATTTGTGACTGTGCTATCTTTGGGAATAAAACCAAAGCCCACACATTTTACCCCTTTGTTGTGATGTCGACGCTCTTTAACACTCAAATCATTCAGGTTTTAAGGTACCTTTAGATCAGAAAAGTTTTATATTAACAACAGTTTGGGAAGGAAAACTGTTTTTTATTGCTTGTCTTTTATTGCTTAGGCAAAATCTGCTCTTTACACCAAAGTAGGTACTATGACATTGATATACTCAAAGGACAGTTTCACACGTAACCTTTGCAGGTATTTTTTCTCACTGAATTAAAAAGTAACAGTAAAAATAACTTACAAATTACAAAAGCAAACCTTTATGTACAACTTTAGTATTATACGCTGTGATTAGACAGTGAAAAATGACAATCTCTTGACTTGTTGTGTCCAGGCAATCATGTTGGCATTTAGCAAAATTCTTTAAAGGCAGCAAAAGTCGTTTGTTCCGTTTGAGTGAATGACACATGCACAATATTAAAAATACCCACCCCCCTTTGTGAATATCAGTGCTATCATTATAAGCAGTAATCCATGTGTGTTTACAGAGGTGCTAAACTGACTTGGTGAGACTTCATACATTTTTGATATTACAGATTTACTACTAATTTCATTCATGCTGCTGCATCCTGTAGTTTACATGTACAAATAGTCTTTACTAATAACTGTTATTTCTAATAATACTCGAGTTAGAATAACTTGATGTTTACTTTATCTTGTAGTCGGATCGCTCCGGGTTCTTCAGTGAAGTGGATGGAGTCGTTCACCCCTCAGTTGGCTGGGAAAAAGAAGCTGGTGGCCTGCCTGGACTGCACTGCTATCAGAGATGTGTGTGGCCAGCTGGACGTCGATATAAATCCTGAAAATGGAGGAACTGACTGAGCAAACAGTATAGGAGAGAGAGAGAGAGAGAGATCTTTACCAAATGCTTTTCCTTCTTTTTGCTTTGCTAATGTGATTTTAAAGTACAAATCCCACTTCTGAAAAAATGTAAAATGCAATAATAACAAGAATCTGTGATTTGCTAATTCTTTCAAACCTTTATTTAACTAACAAAAGTGCAAAGAAAAGATTTCCAATGTTTTCACTGACCAACCTAACTGTATTTTGTATTGTGTCTGCAACACACAGAGGCATGTCTACAACTGTGTTGCATCACCTTTCCTTTTTAATTAGACTTTTTAATGGTTTGGGAACTGGGGATACTAACTGTTGCAGCTTTGTGAGTGGACTTCTTGTCCATTGTTGCTGAATACAAGACTTCAGCTGTTCAACAGTCATAGCACACTTTTCCACTCTCTTTCAGTCACCTGGGATGATCTTGTGCCCAGAGAACTCAGCAGTGTTTCTGCATAGAATTGATGTGTGGCTTTGTCAATATTTACAAAATACAATCAACTTGGTCAACTAAAACAGTACATGTCTTTTTTTGCACTTTTGTCAGTTAAATAAAGATTCAAAAGAATTAGCAAATCACAGATACTTGTTTTTTATTGCATTTTACAAAATGCCCTTTTTGGAAAATGTGGTTTGTATTTTAAACCCTACATTTCTGTATTCTGATTCAATCAAAATCAATCAATGTCATAATGTTTTTTTTTCCAAAAATTGCCATGTAATATTTAAAAGGTGCCTTAGCATTTTGCATAATTTGCTTGACAATTTTTCAGATGATATAACGTTCCATTTACTAATATATTTCCTTGAGGACTGAAGTGTATTTCATACTCCTCCATCTATAACTGATTTTCTTTACAGTAGTGCTGTTGCGCTGATGTTTCTATTAACAATACTAACAATAAATATCATTCCTGAAGCATATTTGGACTACTGTCATTAATGTGAACATACAATCACATGCCACATACCAGCTGATAACCCAAAATAGGTTATAATATCAGGGCATTATTACTGTGCTCTATACATATTGCTGTTTCTATGTAACCTTGTCTAGAATTTTAGAAATAACTATGAAGGCTTTTAAAAATATATATTATAAATAGGCAGAATTAACCCATTAAAAGACTAGCAGGTCCAAACTTTTAATAAAAACTAATATAATTAGTCACCTCCATTCTGACTCTCAATACCATATAGACAGTGTTTCTAGAAAATCCTGTCTTCTGTTTGAGTCTTTAGGCTTCTTAATAGTTTGTTAATAGCTTGTTCATTATTCCTCCTTTGTCCACATTAATACTGAGTATTAAGCTTTAGGATGTTATAAGTCTGTGATTTTAACGAGTTACAGATATAACCACCACCCTACCCTCCTCCTGTTTGGCGATCACCTGGAGGGGTGGAGGGTTCACAAACAGAGGAAACAGAATGCAAGAAACAGAGAAGGAAGACTATCATACTGAAATCAGAACATTTCCCCGAACTTTTCTCTAAATTGTTAGTTGCCCTTCATTTGTCCTTGACGTTGGGTGAATGGCATGCTGATGACCACCAGCCTCTGTTTATGCACTGACTGATCCAGACTCAGCTGGTTTGCTGCTGTCTTGTTTTCTTTTAAGAGTTAAATTACTATTTCTCAGAAAAAATAAAATAGATTTCAGCTGTGTGGATTTTCATCTCCCTTCTGCTGTTCATCGTTGTGGACATTGTTCGTCAGCTCTGTTTTTCTTTAGCATCCGTTTTTCATTCTTAGCTTTTCTCTCACTAAATGCCAATGTCTCTCTTGCTTAGTCTCTCTCTCTTTTTCAGTCTATCTATCTATCTATCTATCTATCTATCTATCTATCTATTTCACTGTCTCTCACTCTCTTGCTCTGCCCTTCTCGCTCTCTCTCTCTCTCTCTCTCTCTATCTCACTCTCACACTCTGTCTTTCTCTCTTTCTCTTTCTGTCTCACTTTATCTTTCTTTCTTGCTCTGTCTCTCTCCCTTTTTCTCTCTCTCTGTCTACTTATCTTTTTTCTCCCTCTGTCTTACTCTATCTATCTATCTATCTATCTATCTATCTATCTATCTATCTATCTATCTATCTATCTATCTGTCTCCCTCTCTCTCTCTCTATCTCACTCTCACACTCTGTCTTTCTCTCTTTCTCTTTCTGTCTCACTTTATCTTTCTTTCTTGCTCTGTCTCTCTCCCTTTTTCTCTCTCTCTGTCTACCTATCTTTTTTTCTCCCTCTGTCTTACTCTATCTATCTATCTATCTATCTATCTATCTATCTATCTATCTATCTATCTATCTATCTGTCTCACTCTGTCTCTCTCTCTCACTCTCTCACTCTGTCTCTCTCTCTTTCTCTTTCTGTCTCATTTTATCTCTCTTTCTTGCCCTGTCTCTCTCTCTTTTTCTCTCTATCTGTCTCACTCTGCTGTTCTCTCTCTCTCTCTCTCTCTCTCTCTCTCTCTCTCTCTCTCTCTCTCTCTCTCTCTCTCTCTAAAGGTAATTCCAGGCCACACTCCCTCATCTGCTCATCTGTTTGCCTGCAGGCGCGGCGGCGGAAGGGAAAACTCCTCCACTGACGCAATAGGTGCCTTTTTTTCATTTGGTCCAATTCCTCCATATTAATGAGACGTTGCTGGATTTAGACAGCTCGAGCCTAGTCTGCTGCGTCTACCACTGCTGGAATCCCCCTCCCTCCCTCTCTCCCTCTCTCACTCTCTCTATCTCCTTTCTTTATGCCTCTCTCTCTCTTGCACCCACCTGAATGAGTCATCCATGGAAACCCACTCAAGCCGTTCGGTAATTGGTGGGTAGAGTACACATACACAGGCGTAGCCTATTAGAACGGGGTTCCCTTACACAACAATTCGGTTTTGCCCCATGCATTCCAAGCTTCATTAACACAAAGTCTAATTCTTTTTAGCAGATGCCCAGGTTTTTGTGAGCAGACAGCTAATATAGGACGTTTTTCTATCTCCTGACTCTGTTTGCAGTAATTTGGAGGGAAATATTTGTCATTGTGATGAATTTCATTTGTGTCCTACAGGGGCTGGTGAAATCATTATAGCACATCCTGGCCACAAGAGGGCGAGAGCAATAAGCACATGCATTGTGAGGCTACAACCTCTGTAATAAAAGCATCGTCACGATTTTTTTCACCCTTGAATACGTCCCTGTAATATCCTGCATCATCCATCCCATTGTAGCCCAATATTTTTTTACAGTATGATGAAAGTCTGACATTTCGTCATGACACTACATCACTCTGTTATGCAGAAGCCTAAGGAATTTATGAAAAAGCAGCCAGACAGCCTGTCCTAGGTGTGACCAGTAGAGGAAGCTAATACACATTCAGTACTCTAGAAGCAGACATAATTTTAAGGGCCTGCGGTTCAATAAAGTACCTGGACTAATTAATGGCTGAGGAGGTGAACTATTAAAAGTCATTAAATCAACCAGTGACCCAGACTGCAAGAAGACAGAGCCAGAGCTGAGTCGTTAGAGCTGGAGGGATATTAGCACGGGGCTCCAGAGCTCAGCACAGTTTCTGTTTTAAATGAAGGAAGCGTCGAGGGAGCCAATTACTCAGCAGAGGGGCGCCAGGCTGAAGAAGAACAGGCGGGATTCTCCTTCAGCTCCAGCAACCTGGCAAACACTCTGTATATGCCTCCACCAAAGAAGAAGAAGAACCCTATTGACTAGAATGTTGTCATTATAGCAGTTACCCAATGTGGTATGATGCCAGTGATGTAACTACTTATGTGTGTGTTGGGGGGTGTTTAATGGGCCATTCATAGAGATACTGACACAAAAACAAATCCAAGACTGACAGTAAGATCATATTTCTTAACACACCTTACCAGTTAGCTTCCATCAGCACTACACTCTCAGAAAAAAAGGTATGAATCTATCACTGGAGTGGTACCCCTCTTGTCACTGGGGCGGTCTCCTCAAGGATACATCTCAATTCCTTTAGTCAGGGAACATAAATGTACCATAATCCATTGAAATTATATTTTCTAAGTTGTATTGACTCCACACACCCCATTTCATCTCCAGGCTTTTTATTTTAATGTTCTGTTTTAAAACAGTAGGTTATGAAAAGATACAAATATGTACTTTTCACCTGGGAAAATATCATTTAAGGTACACAATGGGACCTTAAAACCACTGTTGGGAGTACATTTCCATTGTTTATACCTTGATGAATGAAAAATGAACCTGCACAGCACCTTTATTTCTAACAGTGTATACAGTCAGCACTGACGTCTTTTTACCCATCTCTCATTAATAACGCATTGTGATATATTTGTTATTTATAGCTAAAAATTGTGCAAGATCAAAATCATTCCTATTAAATGGCATATCAAAACATGTATGTTGTACAGCAAAGGATTCTAGGTCATCTATATAACCGTATTTGGCCAGTGGCATGTCAGACAGCTAAATATAACATATAATTATTGTGATCCAAAGTGATAAACTAATGTAAACATTTAGACCGGCATCAGATGCTAGTGGATGGAGTGGCGTACATTAAGAGCATCAACTTGTGACATGAAAAATAAATTGTGAAAAAGCAAATTACACCGTTATTTTTGTCATTAATTGAAATCAATTTTCATGTGGGCTACCTGTAAGATCCTAGTTATGCTCCTTCATGACACTGTCCCTATTCATGATAACCACCTGCTGTCTCTGATACTGACACCGTCGCAAGAGTCTAAACTCTTATCAGAAACACAGACTGTTCTTCAGAACACTGATTTCTGTTAGATTGAGAATAATAAAGGCTACGGGACAGGTTCAGGAGCGAGTCAGTGCAGATCTGGCTTGTATACTGTAAATATCCTACTTAGTCGCCATTTCAAGTGTTATTTCAAATTTCAAGTGTGAAAATACAGGTAGCTGAAAACACCGTTTATTCCAAAAATCGACTTTGTTTCGTTTCGCAAACTCTTGCAGTTTGATCTAATAAAACTACAACAAACTACACAATCTCTATAGTGCTGTGTGATGCTTCTATAATAATTATAATATCTTTAATCCATATATTGTCGTTGTCCAAAGAAAACCATGTGTCTCCTTTTTGTCGATTTTTATTTTTTAACATCATTTCAACACACCAGCTGTCCTTTACATTGTGTGACAATTTCATGATGAATGGACCAACAGAAATGCTCCAAAATCACTTGGAATAAAATCTCTTTACATTAACTTACCTTAAAAGGTAAGAGTGTTTTTGCCTTCTCCTGTAAAGTTACTAATTTGGAGATCTTGTTTTTCTTTGGACAGCGATGATATGCATATAATAGTCCTGTAGTGTTGTCTTGTACTGCCTAGTATTCTAGAAGTAATATCCTGTAGTAAACTACAGATATTGCTCAAATTTACTGTAAGATTTTTATAGGAATCATGTAGAAATTCTTTTAGTAGTACTATGTGTACACTATATTAAATCATTGCTGTTGGAAACAAAACCTCTCCAAAATGGAAACTTCACAGGAGAAAGAAAAAACATTCTTAACTTACAATGGAAGTTAATGTAAACAATCTTTTCAAGTCATTTAAAATTGTAGCACAATGAAAGGGTAACTGGAGTTTTCAGATTATGCAAAAGAGTAAAAATGAAAAAAATATGTGATGTAGAAGAGAAGAGAAAAGATGTATATAAATGAATCTATTCTAGTAAGAACACTAATATGAGCCAGTCTGTCCACCATTACTCAGTACAGCTGAAATCATTCTGCATATTGGAACAGGTAAGGAACGTGGTGATGGTCATTACGTAGCTAACACAAACAAGCTGAAAAACAAACTCTTTACACAGCTTACAGCGATTAGTACATTTCAGAATGTAACTCAGAGCTTTGAATTATTGTAAAATAAACATATGTGACTTTTCTAAACAAACACGTGATTTCCTATCTTTTAATAATTAAATGCAGGGCCTGAACATTTCTGATAGAATCTAATTCTTGATGCTGAGGTGCTGATGTGTTAGAATGCTACTCATTAGCTACTTAGAACATGGCTCTGCAGTTTAGGCAGAGTGTGCAACTGAGTACAAATCTCATAATTTCTCGTAATCCAACAAATTAAAACATTATCTAGCTGACATTAGCTTGTGCACTAGCCTAATAGATTATGGAAACACAGGCACTCAGGATCACAGTCACAACAGACCTTTGCAAGGTCAGCGTTACGATGAATATGATGAATATGATGAATAAAGTCCATTTAAGGTCTGATGTCTGAGATCATTCAAGCTGTTCATGACTGAGGGTTCTTGCTAGTATGTGAATGCACAGAGTGCTGGCTTGTGTTTTGAGATATGATCTGAAAGCTCGACCCAGTGACTGTCTGAATTGTACTCTGGTAAACACGAATAAATATAAGTCCATATAGATGTAGGTTAACCTAGTTTTGTATGCAGGGATTGTCTGAATTGTACTGTCCTTAAAGGCACAGTGTAACCTAATCACTGTGTAGGGATCATCTGAATTTTACACTTTTACACTTTTAAAATTAAAGGTACATTCTTAAAAAGAAGGTTCTTCAAGGGTTCTTTAGTAAAGAAAATGGTTCTATATTGAACCATGAAAACTGAAATAACTCTTTGCATCATTAAAGAGTTCATTGCATCATGCAAAGGGTTCTTTGAGTATTCATGATTGGATGAAAGACCAGTTTCTTTAGTAAAGAGCCCTTGAAGAACCATGTTTTTTAAGTGTGACCAGAAAGGGTTCTTTACATGGTGCTGTAGAAGAACCTTTCAATGGGTAGTTCTTTAATGAGCAATATTTGAAAAAAACATGTGTGAGTATGAAGAACCTTTTTAAAGTTTAAAGAACCTCCAAAGAATGTAAAGGTTCTAGGAAGAACCTTAAAATTGGTAAGGAAACATTACATTATGTGAAGGTTCTTTAAACATTTAAAAGGTTCTTCAGACTCATAAATCATGGTTCTGCAGGGAACCAAAAGTGGTTCTTCCTTGGCAGCACTCAAAGAACCTTTAGGATCTTAAGAGTGTAGGGAATGTCTTAATATTATGGTTTAAAAATGACAAAAAAAGAACACAGCCACGGTATAGAAGATGTTTTTGCGTTTTTGTTTGGTTCTCAGTCAGTTTCTTTTGCAGAAAGTCTACAGTAACAATAACTTTGCTTCTGCTTAATTCTGCTCACAAACTCAAATCTGGTATGGATTGAAAATTTACAGCCTGCATTTTCAACAGGATTTCTCTGCTAATGAAATGCCAGTGACTGTCTGAATTGTTCTCTGGTAAATGTGAACAAATATAAATCCATATAGATGTAGGTTAACCTAGTTTTGTCTGCAGGGATTGTCTGAATTTTACTGTCCTTAAATTCACAGTGTAACCTAATCACTGTGTAGGGATCATCTGAATTTGACACTTTTTTAAAATAAAGACAAGCCTTTGTGTAGGGACTGTGTGTTATTCTACACTTTATAAAGCCACAGATGTGATATGGTCACACTCTTAAAATTAAAGGGGCCAGAAAGGGTTCTTCACACTACGCTGTAGAGGAACCACCGTTGGTGTCCTGAAGAACCTCTCAATGGATGGTTCATTGGAGAACCATATGTGCCAGTGTACAAAGGCCTGCTTTCCCATATAAATGAAAATAATGTGTGGCCACGCCTTAGTAACATGTAGGAATGAGATCCTAATGCATGGCCATGACGTAGTAAGGCATGGGGATGACATTAATGTCTTACTAAGTTGTGGCCACACATTAGGATTTTGTTCCCATGCCTTACTAAGTTGTGGGTACACATTATTATTATTTATACAGGATGTCACTAGCAGGGCTCCAGACAAACAAGATGTGTGAGTGTGAAGAAGGTCAAAGAATAATAAATGATGAAAACGTGATAAGAATGTAAACAGTGTTTTATCTCTTCTACAGAGCCAAACAGATCCCACAACAACAACTTTTCAGCAAAAATTAATCATAATAAAGTATTTTATGCTCCCCTGCTTTCAAGCTGTGGACTGAAAGTTTAGAATCTGCACTTCAGCAGGTTTTCTCTGCTTGTTTCAGAGAAATTTCCAAACACAGTGTAAGAGGAGGCCGCAGTCTATGAGTTGGGTGCCGTTTGCTGTGCAGGGACTGTCTGAATTGTACAGTCAGTGCGGAGGGATTGTCCGCATTTTACGTTATGAACGCGCGCGGAACTCGGCGCGTGTTCAGGCTGCTCACATCACTGCAGTTCAATGTTAATCCCCGCTTGTCCGGCCTGTCTGTGTCAGAGGGGCTCTCTCACCTCTCCGGCCCGGTGGTCACGCGCGGCGGCAGTGCAGTGAGCTCGAGCTGGGCTAGGAAGTGTGTGTGTGTGTGTGTGTGTGTGTGTGTGTGTGTGGTGGGGGGGTGTGGGAGGGAGGAAGTGTGTTGGGAGGGGGGAGGGGGAGCGGGGGGTCAGCCCAGTCTGGCACAGAAGGGAAAAAAATGGAGACGTGGGGAGTCCGACACGGAGTTTTTTACGTCAACCGCGCGATGTGGGCGTGAAGGAGAGAGAGAGAGAGAGAGAGAGAGAGAGAGAGAGAGAGAGAGAAACGAGGCATTACCGCCCTCGCGTAAAACGGGGTGCACCATTTCACTCCTCTCCGCTTCACCGTGCGCGGAAAAAAGAGGCAACAGGATAAAGAGATATAACAAAAAATATAGAGAGTCAGAGAAAGAGAGGGAGAGAGAGAGGGAGAGAGAGAGAGAGAGGGAGAGAGAGAGAAAGTGGTTGAATTTGGAGGATCTGTAAATAAACGGCAATGTGCAGCAGCAGCAGCAGCGCAGCTGAGTTGTTGTTCTCTCCAGCGAGTATCTAAAGGCTGGCCGGCGCTCGCCAATGGTTTTACCTCACATAGGATGGGATTAACTCTGTCCGGAAGATACATCTCACTGTTTCTCGCTGTTCAGATAGGTGAGTGCACGCGCACTGATTTTATTCCCAAATACAGTGTGTGTCTGTGTGTGTGTGTTGCACTGGTTTTTCTTTGGTCGTGAATGAAATGTTCGTGTGCTTTTCGTTTTTTTTCGTTCGCGCTCGTTCTTTATAAACTGCGCTCGTCCTTTGCGCGTCTCCTCTGCGCTCTGAGCGGCCGCTACTTCTGAGTCTGTGACTGAGTGTTGCAGTTTAATGCGACAGTGGAGCGCACGGTGAGTTTCAGCGCGCACTGGGTCGCCTTTTTCTCCACCCGTTCACCAAATTACAGCCATGAAAAGACGAGCTTTACTCCAGCACGCGCACATTTTCGCGTTTTTCATATTTTTATGTGTTTCCTTCTATTGTCCCGTTTGGTGATGTTTCTCCCGCGCTGGTCCGCTTCGTAGAAGTGCGCGTGTATATATGTGTGTGTGTTTGTGTGTGTGTGTGTGTGTGTGTTAAGGGGGGAGCCTGCTCTCAGAAACATCACTCCAGGAATTATCCAGACCAGAGAATAAATAAATAAATAAACAAATAAATAAATAAATAAATAACAATCGTTTATTGCAATAATATAATGTAACTATAATAATATTAACAGTTTAGTAACTGTAATAATATTGATAGTTTAATTCAGACCAAGAGTAGTCGAGTAAAAGTAGTCCAATAATAATAATAATAATAATAATAATAATAATAATAATATTAAACTGAATGACTTTTCGAAACTAAATATTGAAATTTGAAATTAAATATTTTAAAATGCTCTAAAGACGAAAACATGCTGCTGTACTGTAATCTTACATCATCAGCAGCCTTATTCTCTCAATATACAGCCCACAAAAAACGCATCCTGGGGACATTCAAAGACTACTAATGTAATAATAGTATAATAACAACGTTATACCTTATTAAAACGAGGCTGCATTCTAACAAATGATTTATGAAAGTCCTCTTTGATCTATTCTTTATGCTTTAGAATAATGTGGCCTAAATCGTTGGGTGTGAAATGAGGAGTCGAACGTGGTTGAAGTGCCCGAATACACCTCCGCCCATCATCCCCTCCCATCTCCTCTCCATGTGAGCGCGCGGTGCTGAGGGCTGGCTGACCAGCAGGACAGTCTATTTCAGCTCCTACTAAATATAGAGCTACACTCAATGAAAGCAACGTTAGAGCTAAAAACCGTAATATTCCAAGGAAACGCCGAGCTGGTGATGGGTGTGGCATTCATAGCGATGAAGAAAGACAAAAAAAGGAAAATCTGAGATAGTAAGAGGGGAAAATATAGGTTTGGTTTAAAAATACGGCGAGAAGAAGAGCAGCGTTCGCATAAAGAAATGCTCAATCCTCTCTGGACACGATCAGGGCGAACAGAGTCGTGTTTGTGCTCTTCTTGAGCAAATCCGCCATGTTTAAGGCTGTAAGGGACGGAACGGAGCTGCTGCTTTCAGGATGGAGAACAACGTGGGCGCTTTCTGCGCTCGCTTCATCCTCCAGCACGGCCCGGTCTGATGTAGAGCTGGAGTTTCTGTCCTATTCGCCAGCGTCTTATTCGAATTTGCCGTTCCACCTTAAACGGTCTTGGGCGGCAGAATGTAACTGCTGCACCATTTAAGGTGGAACGGCAAATTCGCAGCGAATCAGCCTCCTCTAATCTGCTCTGTGCGCCCAGGAGAGGACGAACAAGCCTGAGAAAGCCCAGCCGAGCCTAATTAGAGCTCCACACAGGGTTATGTAAGCGTGTAAGCCTGCAACACTGCGGCAACATTCACTAATACATACATATATATATACATATATATACACACACATATATATATATATATATATATATATATATTCACAACACTGACACGTTCAACACTAATTCCAAATCCGTTGAGATTAATGTTATACACCACCACTACCTTTATTCGGGCTTTTTTTCAGCTTTAAAGCCTAAATGATTATTATTATTATTATTATTATTATTATTGTTGTTGTTGTTGTTGTTATTATTATTATTATTATTACATTTTTCCAGTTAAATGGAATACTGGGTTAACCTTCATGCTCGCTCTCGTTTTCTCCGCTGCTCTGATAGTCACGGCGCTCATTGAGAAAATAAGAGCTACAGTTCAAACCTCACACCTCACAACCATCCACAAAAAAAGTGATTTTAAAGAAAAAAAAACGAAAAAGAAAACAACGACGTTAATAAATTAATAATAATGCGTTAATAACACGCTAATACATTAGGCTGTGTATAGTATACACACTAAGAGGTGCAAACACATATATAATTGAATACTAAGGAATTAAACAGCATAATACACAAATAAATAGGAAATTCTAACAGTTAAATAAATAAATAAATATGCACAGGTGAAAAAATCAAGTGGTGGGGTCTCTGATGGTGGTCTGCTTGTGTCCAAAATAGCCTGATACATTACAAATGTCCCTCTTTGGGAAAACTTCTCTGGGAGCTCTGCAGAAAGCCCCCCCCCTCTTCCTCCTCCTCCTCCTCCTCCTCCTCCTTTTCCTCCTGTGCAGCCAAGTGCATTACTTCATCTGTTTGCCTCCTCCTCCCGGGCAGAAATGATCTCAGCGCTCAGAGCCGTGCATCTCTGTTTGAATGGAGATGAGACTGGAGTGACCCATAAACAGCGTTTAAAGATGCCCCGTACCTGCACGCGCGGGAGCGTTTACTTTAGCTTTAAGCAGTCGGTGAATGGGCGCAGAATGAATGTGTGAATGGAGGGCGCGTGACTTTGCGTTTGGAAACGAAAATGAATTACAATAATGAATATATTTGAAACATGGTTGAGTCTGATGCACACATGAATACAGTTACTGCGTTACAGACAATGTCTTCAGTCCACGTCTTTGCTGTGTTGCTGTAACGTATTTGAACTCATTTGGGTCGTGTGAATTCAAAGCATCGTCATATATTCCATGTGTTTCTAGGCTAACAAAGCAAATACAAGCACAAGCGCAAAAATCGAGGGCACGTTAAATAAATGATCAGTCCAGAACTGAGACGTGCCCCCTTTTATCACCTGCATGGCTGTCTTTAGCGTGAATGAGGTGCTGATTTCTATGCTCTCGGTGTTGCAGCCTATTTGCTGCAGGCGGTTGGAGCGGCGGGGAAATGTGACACCGTGTTTAAGGGCTTCTCCAACTGCCTACTTCAGCTGGGAGAGAGCATGGCCCAATACCCGCAGGAGCTGGACGAGAAGGACAACCTCCGCACCATCTGCCTGTAAGTGCACCTTTTAGGGTTTCATATTGCCACGCTTATATATATGTATAGACATTGTTGTGCATGTTTTATTGATATCGCCAGTACAGTTACAGCGTCTGTAGTGCTGTAATTGCACTGGTGATGATGCATATAAAGCACACAGGCTAATGCAGCCCAAATGAGAGAGAGAGAGAGAGAGAAAGAGAGAGTCTCTCGCGCGCGTGTGAGGAGCCAGATGGTATGAGGGGCCCCTTGTTTAACTCGACATCTCCATCATGAAAATGAGGCTCCGCAGCGTTAAAGCGTCACTCATCACTTCATCACTTCATCACTTCATTCGCACCAATTAGGCGCTGGGAGGGAGACTCTCAGGTGAAAGGTGAAGAAGAGAGATTGGATTAGAGGGAAAAGCAGAGCAGGACTGACCACGGAGAGAGAGAGAGAGAGAGAGAGAGAGAGAGAGAGAGAGAGAGACAGACAGACAGACAGACAGAGAGAGAGAGAGAGAGAGAGAGAGAGAGAGAGAGAGAGAGAGAAAGAGTCCCTGGGGGCTGCACTGTATTACCATCTCGGCTTCACCTCCATCCACTGGTTTACACGAGGACAAGAGAGAAAGAAGAAACGCCATTAAAACAGAAAGAGTCTCTGCTGAGATGGTTACCGGCACCGTTTCGTGTGGGTGTTTTTTAAACTCCATTAATCCGTTCTTCTTCAGCCAGATCCATGACTATAAACTGTGTGGATCTAATCAGGGATGCTCTTTTGTTCTCTGTCCCGCGCTGTGCGGTCACTGAGGAGCTGCACGTGTTTCTGTTTCACTTCGTGAGACAGAAAAAAGAGGGAGCAGAGATACTGTTCTCCTCACGTCATCGTCAGCATCGTCATCATCATCATCACCATTATCATCATCCTCCCTATAGATCACGAGCTCGGTCCTATGGAAGCAACAGAACAGCTCGTATCCCAGAAGTGCGGTGTTTCAGGAACACTTAGTAGATAAACAGTATAAGCCTGACTGAAGGAGTAATAACGCACGTTTTTGTCTGACAACAGACGCTTTCAACTTTTAGACGTTTTAATTTTTGTGTGATGAACGGAAAGGAAAGTGGATACATAAAAACACGTTGATTTCATGTTAAAAATAAGTAATTTGGCCAATTAAGAATTTTTTAAAGCTTATTAAAACTCCAGTACTAGGTAGGATAAAAATTATTATATACGATTTATAGAATGCATTTTACAGTGGATATAGTATGTTAAATAGACGGGTTTTTTATAGGGATGGATTTTATCATTTTTAAAAAGGATTTTGGGGATTTTTTTTTTGTATACATTGTTTTAAGAATTTCTTTAATATATATGTACGTTAGAATGGATGGATGAGGATTTTTAAAGTAGATATGAAAGGTTTAAAAGAGACTTTTTGCAGTGAATTTTTTTTTACAGTGCGGATTTTTGTTGCATTTATGGTGATTTTTGTTTGAGGGTTTTTTGCAGTTGGTGGGGTGCTGTTTACTGTTGATTGTTGATTGGAATTCTTACGGTTTATGTAGATTTTTTACAGTTTATTTTTTTACAGTCTTACGGGAATTTCAGAGTGGATTGGAATTTTACAGTGCCTCCCATTTTTTACATTGGATGGGATCCTTTTTTTTACAGTTGAAGGGGATTCCTGTGGTTTGTGGGGATGTACTAGTGGACTGGGACATTTATAAGGATTATAAGGATTTTACAGTACACGAGGAATCTTATAGTTCAACTTTTTTTTATTACAGTTGATTGTGATTTTTATAAGAAATTGAGAATTTAACAATAAAGATACATGAAAGTGTTTTTTTTTTTACAGTGGGTTGGAATTTTTATATGTTACAGTTCAGTTGACGGGGATTTTTACGGTTAGTGTTTTTTTCAGTATATGGGGATTTTTTTAAGAGTGGCTGCAATTTTTACAGTGTATTGCAGTTTTTATGGTGGATTTGGCCTTTTACAGTAGACGGGACGCTGATTTTTATATATAGTATAGTGGGTATATAGGGTTCTTACAGTAAATGGTGTATTCATTCACAGGTGATTGGGGATTTCACGGTTTGTCGGGATTTTTTTTACAGTAAATGGAGATATGGGGACCATGTTTTACAATTAAAGGGGATTTAGTGGGTTTTTTATAATGGGACATTTATGGACATTTTTTAAAAGTGAGGCTTTTACGGTTTATGTGGATTTTTTACAGTAGACAGGAAATCTGTTTTTTATGTTTATGATTTTCATTTTGCATTCCAGTCGATTGTGATTGAGACTTTTACAGTAGATGTGTATGAGAGTGAGAGCAGGCGCTGTTGGGTGTGTAACCCGGGTGTAAATGTGATGTGCAGGTACTGGGATGATTTCCACTCGTGTGCCACCACCGCGCTGGCGGACTGCCAGGAGGGCGCCACCGAGCTGTGGGAGAAGCTGAAGAAGGAGTCCAGGAGCCTGCAGTTCCGGGGCAGCCTGTTTGAACTGTGTGCAGGAGGGAACGGAGCCCCCAGAGCAGGACCCCCGCTCAGCCTGAGCCTGCTGTTGCCCGCACTGTGTGCCCTGCTCACCAGCCTCTGCGCGCTCTAGACACGGCCGGCAGCAGGAGGAGGAGGAGGAGCAGAAAGAGGAGGAGGAGGAGAAGGAGGACGACTTCAGAGTGCTAGCACCACAAGAAAAAGAATAATAATAAAAAAATAATAATGACGATCAAAAAGAAAAAGAAAACAGAGAAACCATCTTCGCCCAAATGGATTTATATACTTCATCCGGAGAGGAAGACGACGACCTGTGTGTGTGTTTTTTTTTTTCCTTTGCTAGAGACAATGGTGACGTCGTCTTCGGGGGGAACTGCTCCAGCATATCTGCCTGACCTGGGGTCAAAAAAAGTAAAAAAAAATCGGTCATTTTTTGACGGTCCCGCGCTTACAGTAACGGTGGACTTCCATAGGCCTGTAGTGTTAAAGGCCGCAGTGAAGTAATCATCACTGCAGGCCTCTTCATCTAACGATCATGCCTAGAAATAATAAGAAATAAGAGAAATCCTGATATCCTGACACTGCACACATCAGTCAAAGTCATTTCGACCAGTAATCGGAGGCTGAGCCCATGTTCTCTTCTCTCTATTCCTTTATTTTATTTATTTATTTATTTTTATTGAATTTTCTTGGTTTTAGTTGCCAAATTTAGCGAAGCTAAGCATGTTGGTACCATGAAAGCTGGTTTGGACCTGTAAGCAGATATCAAACAGCTAGAATAACACTTACAACGCTAATAATAACAACCTCAGGAATGAACCCAGGCATTCAGTCGATGGTGGAAAGTTCCAATAAGGTAGAAAAAACACGTTAGACGTGAAATGTAGCGAGAAAAGGAAGATAGAAGAAGATGGAGAAGGCTGGTGAATGATTTTGACTGTTGACATTCTGCCATTTCTTTATTTGTTTGTTAGTTTCCGGGACTTTGTGTAGGCTAGCAGACCGCGTTTCCTCTGAGCGGTAGGTTTCCGTAGCACGATCCCATTCAGGCCGTGTCAGCGCCGGTGTGGACGGAGGGAAATCTGCTCGAGCTTTGCTGAGATGTGGCCACGACTCACTGCCTTCAGACCATGTGGATTCTGTTCGTTCGTTCGTTCGTTTGTTCGTTCGTTTCTGGGGATGTTGCATATAAATACCTAAATATTCCAAATACAATTACATACGAGTAAATAAGAGACGTTATGTGGAAAAATACTATAAAGATTTTGAGAAAAAAAGAGAGAGAGATACTTTAACCGAACCAGTTTTAAAAACAGATTGATATACAGGTATATAAAAGATTGCTAAACAAAAAAAGCATAAAAGAGTATTAAATAAAATCAGTTAATGTTTGAAAAAAAGAACATGTGTGGTTTTCATTTGCACAGTTTCTGTGATGGTTTTTAGTCCGTTAGTTCGTCCTGTTTAAACCCCACTGATACAGAACACAGCAGTGCTGGTCTGTGGTGGGAAAAATGCATCTGAAAAAAAGGGAAAACATCAATATGCATCAGGCCAAATGGTGTGTGTGTGAGTGTGTGCTGGCCTGGTGCACTCGCAGCCCCCCTCCACCACTCCCCATGCACGCTGTATGGAGCGAGGAGGTATTGTTTCATTATTAATAAAGCAGCAGAGTCCTTTCATGTAGATGTGGAGATCTGGTGAAGGCAGTAGGACTGTGTTACAGTGTGGAGGGACACAGAAACACAATACGAGAATCTGGAGAAATAAATACGAACGCAACCAAAATAATATATATATATATATATATATATATATATATATATATATATATATATGTATACGCGTGTGTGCACGTGACAAAATTAACAGTAACAGTAATATGACACTAATATCTAATATTACAATAAATACAAATACCAGCAATAAATATAATAATCCCCATGTCAGCCCAGTATTATTGTAGGTATTATCCAATCTATCACTAGTTTTTGCTAATCAGTGCTTCATTAGGTTAAATCAGGTGTGCTGATGATGGAATTTAACATATATACATATTAAATATATATATATATATATATGTTATAATGTCTGGAGTAATCGATAACAACTAGCCCAATATTTTTGGTTCTTTTAGTACGTTTTACTCCATTTGTGTTCAATCGCATTTATTCAGCATTCATTCTAACAATACTTGGGGTTTTTACTTGCAAAAACACACTCAAAACTGAGACAAATGGTTTTAAATGTTCTGCGTATATATATATATATATATATATATATACACATATATATTTCAATGTGGGTTAAATTTATGTTACGTCATGTATTCATGTTGGGGATTTGTGTGACGTAACGGTGGATGTGCTTTAACACACACACACACACACACACACATCTGTGCACTACTGCTCTGAGAATTTGGTAGCAAAGCGAGCCAAACACGAGTTATAAGAATCAAAGCTCGCGTCTGTATTTAAATATGGAGTAAGAGAAGCTCGTCCTGACGCCTGTGTGAAACTCCTCACACCCTGCAGCTCCTCTGGACCGATACTGATGCTCAGCTATAAGCTGCCATTTTGAAATGATAAATAAAATATGAGCGCGCGCGCCTTTTACTATTCAATTATTTACACTGTAGTATCTCTATGAATCTGCACTATAGAAACTCCACCTGCACGCTGGCGCAGAAGAACAGACTCTATAGCGTTCATTTCGGAAACACTGGTTCGTTTGAAATAACGATATGTTTAATAGAAATAATTACACAGGTCTAGTTCAGTGATAATTAGCAGGGAAGGCGCTCGTTTGTGATCTTTAAAAAATATCAAAGTCAGTAAATATGAGCAAACAAGAGCAGATTCAGAGGAAAAAATGTAAACAAAGCAGTTTGAAGCAGACTGATAAACAAAGATATGAAGCATTTATAAAATACATAAAGGGGTATTAAATAAAACCAGTTAAAAGTGGGCAGCAGTGGACAGTGTTTGACAGTTGTACATGTTCCTGGGGTGGCTGAAATGATGGGTGAATGACGTAATCAGGTGAAAATGTAGCCTACGTGAAGGAGCGATGGTGTTACAGAGCTACAGTGTCTCCGAATGGGTCACCAGCACCATCTTAGTGGTGATATTGTTTTTGACTCTGACAAGCCTTTTCTTTTTTTTAACATACGATAGAACCAATCCTCATATTTGTTTGTAAGCTATTTATATATGAGCCAATAGGACAAAAAAAAAACAGGCTCGGTTCCATAAACAGAACGATGCACTGATAATAATATAAATAGAACTGACATTTGGTGTAAATGATGCAATGATATTTGAGGCTAAAAAATACGTCAAATAGTTTTCGATGACGTCAAAACGACGACCAAAGTGGTTCAATTTCCCTACGTCACGGCTTTAACGTCATTCAGTGCTCCACTCTCTTAGCCTTTCCTTTTCCTCTCGCATGCATTCACTTCACGAAGACCAAATGGAGAGTTCACCACCAGCCAGCCTTTGGTTTTTTTTCCCAAGTGAGCAAGAACAGATTCTGCTGTCATGTTCCAGCCTTGTTAAAAGAGCTGCAGCTAACGCTTTAGGAAATTAATGCAGCGTGTCCAGTTTTTTTGAAATTCATACACGACCTGAAATATTCATGAAGCTATCATATTAATCAGCATCGATATCTGTGCTTTTGTGGGTCACAGTTCATGTGAGCTATGCCCACAGCATTCCTTTTGACAAGCCACTAGCATCAATAGGATGTGCTGGTTGAGAGTGCATGCGAGAGTAGCTGTTCTCTGGAAAACTGGGTTACAGCCTTCCACGGAGGAGACTGGCTCCATTATCAGTGCAGCACAACAGTATGCAACGCCATTTTCCAGTTGGGCTTGGCACACTTGATCAACGTGCCCATGCCAGTGCCAGCTACACATGGTGGCCACTTTGCCACTTGCTTAGCTGTGCCTCTTCTTGCTGCGTCGTTAGCACAATGGCAGGGTGTTACAGTCACATGGCATTGTGGGGTGTGAGGGGCTTCCCTCTGCAACAGGGTCAGCTGGCATGGCATGGTCTGCAGCGAAGATCTAATGAGGTCATCGTTGTTTTAGGCAGGTATCTGCACAGATAGACCCCAGAAGGGGCTTGGTCCCCTGCCCCTTTTGCCCTCACACTGTACAAGTGACCTATAATAACTGTACTTAATACGACCTCTATTTTTGTTCAAGATCCTTTTCAGCAAGGCGAGGCTCAGCCTCACCCCAGGAATAGAGCTCATGGGTTGGCTTGAGTTCACAAGCTTCATTCTACTTGAGTGCCCCCTCAGGTGCAGTGCTGACTGCCTGAGGGGATGTCCTCTCAGTAGCTCTGACCTAAACAACCAAACTTAATGTCAACAGTATGCTTTTCTTTAAACTAAAAACAGGGATATTTATACAAACAATGTGGGGCAGTGACCTCCTGGTTTAAGAGAGGTATAACTATAACTAGTTATACTTATAAGTATTGCAGTTGGTGTAATAGATAACACTGTTGTTTTGCATATGGAACATTGAGGGTTTGATGCCTGGCCTGGGCAAAATCACTCCTGTATCAGCATGTAACTGTGATTTTAGGCAATCTATAAGAGTATTTGGGAAACATCCCTGACTAGTCAAAGTCTCTTGATTGATAACCAACCAGTATTAGTTGGCAATCAATCAACCAGTAAGTGTACAATGATGCATGTGAGCCATGAAAATATTAAAATGGAGAGTTCTGGTTTTGATATCTGATTGGCTGAGTCACATTCTAAGCCATTATAATATGCTTTCTATACACATTAATGCCCCGAGATAATAAAACATGTTCCGTGTAGTGACCATAGAACATAGTACTGATAGGTGGGGTCAGGAATCGGCTTGTATACGCAGTAAACGGCCCTAAAAATGCATTAAACAAACACTATGTAGAAACATGGTTTTGTTTAAACAGAGGGTTTTACAACTATAATATGTACATAATTATATGACAAAGGACTAAAACCTGACAGAATGAATGGAATATGTAATGATGGCTACTGAAAGATCAATATTGTAATGTTCTAATGTCCTAAAGTTCTGGATTTACTAGCATATCAGCCCAAGTTAAATCAAACACAAATACCTGTGGAACCAACTGCCTATAGCGCCCCTATATCATTCAAAAATGTTCCTAAACTTGAATGATAAACCTGCATATTCAAATAAGAATAGACATTTATTGAAAAATAAATCAATTTCAATTAACATTTTCAATCATGACATCCCACAACACTACATTTGCTTTCCTCTGATACATGATTAGACCTCCTCTTTGAGGCAAAAGGAGTATGACATGCTGTAAATTACATCAAATTTTGTTCACACATTCATTCAAGCTGCCCTTTTTCCCTTTAAGGCCCTGTTCCCCATAATATATCTGTGCACAGGCTGGTTTCAGGAGAGCCTTGATGTAGATCATTGCATTTGTTCAGCACTACTGAGAGTGACTACTTTGCTAGCCTTCCTCCAAGCAGATTTATGACCATGCTGCAGAGTTTTACCCTCTGCTTTCTCTCTCTCTTACTTAAAAACTGCTGAACTGGTCACAAATAAGACCTCTGCTTTAAAAGCACTCATTAAAAAGTCACAGAGAAGCTGCTGGGTAGGTCACTGTAGTGTCACAAATGAACCACATATATTACTTTACACACTTCCGTATTGGACACTATTACACAAGGATTGTAGTTTTTCAATTTCATAAATCACTCCAACAGGATTATTGTACATGGCATGTACTGATTTTAATTAAATATAGAGTTAACACAATACATTTTATCTGCAGCTTAGTCTAGACTGCATTCGACCTATTGTTTCTCTTGTTCCTGAGAATGCAAGAGAAATGCCTCTGGCAGGAACAAGGCCAACTTTATAAAGTTAACTTGCAATGATATTTGGAGCTCTCTCAGCAGAGAAGTCATAACTATGATTAATCAGCTGTCATTGCAGGGCTTTGTAGGAGAAAGACACACTATACTTGTCCTCTGCAGAAGGCTCTCTACCCGGTGCCAGAGGCCTGGTGAGTTTGCTAATTACTTTATTAAATTTTGCCTTCAGCAAATAAATGAACAAATCAATCAAATTATCGTCGCTGGAACATCTTTTAATAGCATGTATGTCATGGTCGCACTTCATATGGAGTAGCGGTGATTAAGACTCGAGTAGTGTGCTATAGAGATGCTGTGCATGTCTGATACTGCCATATGTGCTGAACAAACACATCAGTCTAATGGACGTACAATGGCTGAGTAATCCAATAGTACATAGCGCTGGCATTTAATATGCATGTTAAGTCAGATAAGTAAGATAGGATATATTATCTGGAAGAGCTGCCGAGCGCCAAGACGAACCAAGAA